TCTCCCCATTTCTTCATTTTTTTAAAAAATTTCTCTCCATTTCTTTCTTTTCCATTTATTCTTTTTCTTTTCTTACCTGTATTTTTCTCTTTTCTTTCCCTTTACTCTTTATTCGTACCTTTGCAGTAACTTTTTCCTATATTGTTCTCCATTCTTTCCTTCCTTCTCCTTTCTTTCTTTCTTTCTTTCTTTCTTTCTTTCCTTCCTTCTCCTTTCTTTCTTTCTTTTTGAACCTGTTATATCCTTTCTTTAGTTTTCCTGTACTTGTGTTTTCTTATTGTACCTTTCCTTTCCTTTCCTTTCCTTTTCCTTTCCTTTTCCTTTCCTCTTCCTTTCCTTTTCCTTTCCTCTTCCTTTTCTTTCCTTTCCTTTCCTTTCCTTTTCCTTTCCTTTCCTTTCCTTTCCTTTTCCTCTTCCTTTCCTTTCCTTTCCTTTCCTTTCCTTTCCTTTCCTTTTCCTTTCCTTTCCTTTCCTCTTCCTTTCCTTTCCTTTTCTTTTCTTTCTGAACCTCTTTTTCATTTAGTTTTCCAAACCTGCCTTTTCCAGTTCTCTCCTTTAATTCCTTTTGTTTCCATTTCTTTCATCCATTTCTCCTGTTCCATTCTTTATTTTTCCTTCCTTTTCATTAATTTTCATTTTCTTAACAAAAGACAAGAATGGAAAGGAAAGAAGTAAATGACGACATTCACTTCTTTCCTTTCCATTCTTGTCTTTTGTTCCCCCTCCTCTCCTTTTTATAAAACATTGTTTAGTTGCTTTTCCTCTCCTCTCCTCTCCTCTCCTCTCCTCACTCATATGATTGTGGATAATGTTCTGCCATCTGAGAAGGATCAGCTTCATCTTTTCTCTCTCTCTCTCTCTCTCTCTCTCCCCCTCTTCTGTCTCTGTCTCCTCACTTCTCTATCTCTCCTCCATCCATCCTCCCCCCTCCTCCTCCATCCATCCTCCCCCCTCCTCCTCCATCCATCCTCCCCCCTCCTCCTCCATCCATCCTCCTCCCTCCATCTCCTCTCCACTTTGTCTCTGTGTAGAATGGGATTCAGGGAGGCCAGCAGTTACCAGGCAACAGGCTACGTGCTCATTGGCTCCGTCTCTGCCTCCCTTCTCTCTCTCTGGCTCCTGCACGGGGTTAACTGCTGTTATGTACTGTTGGTTACTCATAGCGTGGTCTCGGGGGGGCTCGGCATCCAGCCATCTTTCTATTTTCGGGCTGAACTTTTGCATGGGTGCCGCCTGGTGAGGTAACAAGTGGAATTGCCATGTTACCTCAGCAGGCAGATGCAGAGACGCTCGGTGTTGTTGCCTGAAGCGCTGATCATCTGTTAATGTGACAAATCCCTTTAAAAACACTTAACCAGTGCGTACAGTGCATTGTGGGGGATTATTTAGGGGAGAATGGGATTAGCACTGCTGCAGTAATGTGTGTCAGTAAATAATGCCTCGCATTCAAATACAATACTGTAATATAGCCTACTGTTTATTTAGATACTAATATTTATGTGGACGCAAAGACACAAGTTTATGAAGATTAAAACAAACAAATGGAAAGAAATGCAGATGAATATACACTATATATCTCTCTCTATATATATATACAGTACAGGCCAAAAGTTTGGACACACCTTCTCATTCAATGCGTTTTCTTTATTTTCATGACTATTTACATTGTAGATTCTCACTGAAGGCATCAAAACTATGAATGAACACATGTGGAGTTATGTACTTAACAAAAAAAGGTGAAATAACTGAAAACATGTTTTATATTCTAGTTTCTTCAAAATAGCCACCCTTTGCTCTGATTACTGCTTTGCACACTCTTGGCATTCTCTCCATGAGCTTCAAGAGGTAGTCACCTGAAATGGTTTTCCAACAGTCTTGAAGGAGTTCCCAGAGGTGTTTAGCACTTGTTGGCCCCTTTGCCTTCACTCTGCGGTCCAGCTCACCCCAAACCATCTGGATTGGGTTCAGGTCCGGTGACTGTGGAGGCCAGGTCATCTGCCGCAGCACTCCATCACTCTCCTTCTTGGTCAAATAGCCCTTACACAGCCTGGAGGTGTGTTTGGGGTCATTGTCCTGTTGAAAAATAAATCATCGTCCAACTAAACGCAAACCGGATGGGATGGCATGTCGCTGCAGGATGCTGTGGTAGCCATGCTGGTTCAGTGTGCCTTCAATTTTGAATAAATCCCCAACAGTGTCACCAGCAAAACACCCCCACACCATCACACCTCCTCCTCCATGCTTCACAGTGGGAACCAGGCATGTGGAATCCATCCGTTCACCTTTTCTGCGTCTCACAAAGACACGGCGTTTGGAACCAAAGATCTCAAATTTGGACTCATCAGACCAAAGCACAGATTTCCACTGGTCTAATGTCCATTCCTTGTGTTTCTTGGCCCAAACAAATCTCTTCTGCTTGTTGCCTCTCCTTAGCAGTGGTTTCCTAGCAGCTATTTGACCATGAAGGCCTGATTGGCGCAGTCTCCTCTTAACAGTTGTTCTAGAGATGGGTCTGCTGCTAGAACTCTGTGTGGCATTCATCTGGTCTCTGATCTGAGCTGCTGTTAACTTGCCATTTCTGAGGCTGGTGACTCGGATGAACTTATCCTCAGAAGCAGAGGTGACTCTTGGTCTTCCTTTCCTGGGTCGGTCCTCATGTGTGCCAGTTTGGTTGTAGCGCTTGATGGTTTTTGCGACTCCACTTGGGGACACATTTAAAGTTTTTGCAATTTTCCGGACTGACTGACCTTCATTTCTTAAAGTAATGATGGCCACTGGTTTTTCTTTAGTTAGCTGATTGGTTCTTGCCATAATATGAATTTTAACAGTTGTCCAATAGGGCTGTCGGCTGTGTATTAACCTGACTTCTGCACAACACAACTGATGGTCCCAACCCCATTGATAAAGCAAGAAATTCCACTAATTAACCCTGATAAGGCACACCTGTGAAGTGGAAACCATTTCAGGTGACTACCTCTTGAAGCTCATGGAGAGAATGCCAAGAGTGTGCAAAGCAGTAATCAGAGCAAAGGGTGGCTATTTTGAAGAAACTAGAATATAAAACATGTTTTCAGTTATTTCACCTTTTTTTGTTAAGTACATAACTCCACATGTGTTCATTCATAGTTTTGATGCCTTCAGTGAGAATCTACAATGTAAATAGTCATGAAAATAAAGAAAACGCATTGAATGAGAAGGTGTGTCCAAACTTTTGGCCTGTACTGTATGTCGAGACAATGCACACATTGAGTCAAGACAAGTCTTTTAAAAGTCTAATCGCTGCGGGGACAAATGAATCCCTCAGTCTATTTGTCCTGCATCTCTGCAACAGATATCTGCGTCTGGACGGAAGCAACCTGAACTCTCCATGAGGCAGCAGGTGGTGTTGATGGTGATCTGGATCTGCCAGGGTCAGTCTGGCCTTTTGCACCAACCTCACCTTGTGCAGATCAGTGAGGCTGCTTGTTTACTGCACACCCTGACAATCCCCAACAGTTTGTTCCTGTTCTTACGTGTTGAAAGTCTGAACAAGCAGATGAAGTGAGTCCAAAAAGAGCAGACTCCACATTAAAACCACGGAGCTGCTGATGAGCCTTCTTACAAAGTAAATCCACATGGGCTTCATCAAGAACAGTTCCCAGGTATTTATACTGGTTTACAATTTCAACATTTACACCAGAAATGAGCACAGGTAATGTAACTGTACTGTTCTTTGTAAAATCAGTAACAGTCTTCCTCTGCAGAGGAGTCAACAGGGAAAATGTTTCCGTTCTCTCTGAGCATTTTCAGGACTTTTCATCGTCTCAGAATTTAAGTCTCATCATAAATCATCTGTTGTGTTATTGCTTTAAGGTTTGCTGCGCACCAGTGATTCACGGGTTGACCCACAACCTGCAGGTCAGGTGGTTCGGGGAAGCTTGTAACAAAATATCCCAGATTTAAGCCGGGCAGGTCGGGCCGGGTGGTGCCATGGTTAGCACTGTCACCCCAGAGCAAGAGGCTTCCTGGTTCGAACCCCAAGGTAGGGCTTCTGTGCGGAGTTTTCTGCGAGTACTTCGGGTACCTCAGTCCAAAGACATGCAGGTTAATTGGTGACTCGAAACAGCCGAATGGTTTGTCTCTGTGTGTCAGCCCTGTGATAGTCTGGTGACCTGTCCAGGGTTTACCCCGTCTGTCACCCACTGTCAGCTGGGATAGGCTTCAAACACAAGATAACAGCAGCAGCCAAAATGCCGAACTCGAGGCTTCGAAACAGGCGTCCACAAAGCAATAGGTGGCTATGTGCACTTCTTTTATACAGTGTATGATTAATGCATATGTTTGGGGGCAGGGCGGGCGGACAGGCTGTCGTAACGGCCGGGTTGGTGTCAGTTTCAACCCCCTGACCTGCACATCTCTACTTTGCACCATCCTTTCTTGGTGAGTCTGTAAAGCCTGAACTTTTGTTGCAAACTCTTTCTCACCTCTACGAGGCTTCAAGAGAAGAAAGAGGAACTGTGATGCGTCGGCATTTCTAAGAGGAGTCGACCCCCCCTGGGTAAAGATGCCCCTGTTTTTCACCTCAAAGCTGGAACAAGAAAGATGGTGTCACTCTGTAGCTGTGGTACTTTTTGATCAAGGAGAGTGGAGACTTGTGCTCCTCAGGAGAACTGGAGCAGGAAAACACACAATTACAGCTTTGAAGGCAGCTTCATTCACTCAGGTCTCTGCCTCCAGAGATACATGATGCTTTGTAAATGTCTTGTGCAACAGTAAAGCTGTGCCAAGACACCAGCAGTGGACGCTGGGTATTACTCATGTGTTCTGTATGAAATGAAAAAGTTTCAGCCAGTAAGTGTGTGAAACCTCTCGTCCTGTTCTGTAACAAGCACAGAGTGAGAGGCGAATGGACAGGATGAATGATGATGTGTTTATTCGCGTTTGCTAATGAGACATGACACATAAGTGTTGATCAGCATGGGATCTGTTTATTCATTTATTTATTTATTTTGTCTCCATAGTGACGAGGAAGAGCTGCGGAAGTCGTTTTCGGAGCTCGGGGACAGCCTGTGTGACTCCACCGCCTCCAGATCTGTGAAGGGGGAGGGCAGCAGCGGGAGGACGGAGGAGACGCAGCCGACCGGATCACTGCTGTACAAGAATGGGTTCCTGGTTCGCAAAGTCCACGCAGACTCAGACGGCAAGAGAAGTGAGAAGCATCAGACTTTTATCTTTTACGTGTTCCCTTCACTCAAATAGCAAAACAATCTCACCTCAAGGTCGATTTAGCAGCTCCTCAGGAACCTTTGGTCATCACCAGCAGATAAAGTCTGCTCCATCCTCCCATGCAAAAAGTGGTAAACATGAAATGATATAATCCAAGTTCAACAAAACAGGACTACAGTACAGTTGAGTCCAGCTGTGATGTCATGTTCAAGACTGTATTTTCTGAGTTATAATAAAAACAATGAGAGAACATGAAACAGTCAGACGAAAGGCTGCATCTGGTAGCAACAATAAAAAGAAACAGAATGGTCAGCACAGAGTGGAGGAAGGTTTAAGGTAAACTTTGCTCCCCAAATGATCATTTGTGTGTCAGTCACTCAGCTCGTGTTAGATTAAATTCATGAACAAAACTTTGTTTTTATCACACGGTGAACAACGACCACCTTTAACAACAGCAAAACTATATCAAAACATCTGTTTGAAAACTCTCACACAACTCATGCAGTTTAATCCAAGTCTCATTTATCCACCTGTATGTTCAGCACTTCTCAGACGGCCCGTTATGACCTGAACTGAGCTAGAGTTAAGGCTGCTGTCAGCCCTAGAGTGGTCTCCTTTGGTCTGAATCAGGGACTCATGTTGTTCCAAAGTTGTATAATTGCCTAGAGTTGGTTTGTGTTCTCACGGCAGCATTTACAAGAGGACCAGATCAAATGCCTTGTGTGAGAAAGCTGCTCTTGATTGGTCAGAATTTCCATGTGGGAAAAATCCAGGAAGTAAAGCAAACGTTGAAGAAGAGTACACTTGCAAGATAAATGTGACACTTTCTAATGTCACAATGGAGGGACAACTACGCAGGTTGATTTTAGCGCTGCTCATCGTGGACTATATTGCTGTCATTGTTCATTTTAGTCAAACCATACAGTTTGAAAACGAGGCGCGGCTCCAACTAGAAAACAATGTTTTGATGCATTGGATGTGCTGAATGTGCATATTAAGGCAGTACAGGAGGAGGTGCACATTAATAATCCTCCAGGACTGTAACATGCTCATGTTTAACCCAAACAATGTGTCATGTGACTGCAGTTGCTTCACATCCAGGTCGCAACACCTTCTCACCACAAAACAACCGCACCAGAGTTCCTTTGGAACCAGACTGAGACCACCTCTTCAAGAAGGTCTCAGTCCGGTTGTTTTGGTGTGTTCACACCTGCACAAATGAACCTCACTGAGGGGGCAAACTCACTGGATTTTAACTGAACCGAACCAAACAGGGCAGGTGTGAACGCACCTTGAACTTATCAGTGCTGTTACTCTTGTGCTGGTCCACCACTGCCTCAATCAGTTAGTTTGTTTGAGTTGTTGTGTGACTTTGGTGTTTTGAAGAGTTTGAAGTTGCACAATAACACAAAGAGACTTGCAGGATCGGGGCAGCGGTGGACCAACATCAAGGCACAATTCAGCAAGGTCAAGTTACTGTTTTTGTCAGTGGCATTTGGCTTTAAAGAGAGCATCCATAAGTTTCTCTTTTAGTTCAGGTGCCTGTAGTAACAGGCCATCTGTCTGGGAAGTGCTGAGCATACAACTGGATAAATGAGACTTGGATTAAACTGTCTGTAAACGGATGTTTCGATATAGTTCTGCTGTTGTGGAGCTTTCTGTTGTATCACATGATCTTCCTCTGTATATTTTAATTACCCACCTCTTTCCTTTTATATTGTTTCTAGGTTTATTGTTAATGCTTATGACGTAGTGTCCTCTTCTGTCACAAGTGTTCCTGTTATTAGTGTTAATTAGTGTTAAAGACAAACTAACAGTGTGATTGTGTCTATGTCCATAAGGACAGATGTGATATTAACCCTTTCCTCCTCCTCACAGCACCAAGAGGGAAAAGAGGCTGGAAGACCTTCTATGCCATCCTGAAAGGGTTAATCCTCTACCTGCAGAAAGTACGTCCCTCACATTTTACACTTGTAAAACCTGCTGCGTGAGAAACACTTTGAAACAGCTGTTACTTTATATTCATTATTCAGCCTTTATAATGACAGGTGACTGCGTCTCCATCAACATTCTGCTTTACTTTCATGGCAGAAACAAATCTTTAACAGATGGTGAAGCTTTGCTAAATGTTCTTCTGTATCAGGTCGGCTGCTTTCACATAATCCCCAAAATGCTTTACGTCAGCCGGTCTGAGCCCATTTCCTGTTTACATGTCTAGAAGGTGCGATGACGTCATGTCCTGGCTTTTGTGTCCTGGCCAAAAAAGTGTCCGTAGCAACTGAATATCAAACTGTCTGGTGCTAAAATGTCAAAGGTCAGACTTGAGTTTTGTTTACTTGATCTTTGATTAGATTGCTCCATAATTAACATAATTTAATCAGTTTTTCACAGTATTTTGTTCAGGCAAAGATCATTAACATCTGACAACACAGCGCATAAAGAAAAACTCAGGAAATACAATTTAAATAAATATATTTGGCTCATTGTCATAATATTGAGCCACACATCTCCAGTGTGTTAACGTGCCTGTTAGTAACACACCTGACTGAAGCATCTCTGTGTTCCAGCTGGTGCAGACGACAGAGCTGACACACACAGAGTCAGCATTCAGACGATTAACACGTTAAAATGTTAGAATAACGTGACACCTGCAATCCTACTGGCATGTTCTTTATTTCACCCAGATTTGACCCAGAAATTAAATTAAGACAAAATCCCACCCACAAAACTGTTATTTTGCAGGTCACCTGCAGGGTACTTGGTTACCTGAGCCAATCCAGGACTCTGCCTTTAACCAAACAACTGACATCACGCCAAAACACGAGCAAAACACTCAGGGTTTTATTCTGACACTGGAAATTTGTCTGTGACAGTGAGATGGCTTTAAAAGTCGGCAGTAAATGTCACTGAGTCTTAGTTTATTTAAATTTTCACTTCCAGTCGTGGGAAGTCATTAAACCTTTTTTTAGAACTTTATATTTCTGTGACATTTCCATGTCAACCTGTTTCATGTTTACATTTCTCTGTGTGATGTCAAAGCATCAAATGAGGGATCAGATAAAGCAGTGGTTCTCAACTGGTGGGTCGGGACCCAACAGTGGGTCACAGATTCACAAATCTTTTGTGAAATAAAAATTTATTTATCTAAAAATTTTATGACCTTTTCTTAAAGTTTTACGATTTTTGGAATTTCTGTAATTTCTCAATTATGGGATCAATAAAGGTGTATCTTATCTCTTATCTTATCTTTTGTCTCAAAATTTAATGTTTTGTTCTCAATATTTTGACTTTTTTGCAAAATTTTATGATTTTTCCTTGAAATCTTACTTTTTCTAAAAAACTTACAACTTTTTTCTAGAAATATTTTCTAGAAATTCTCAAAATGTTAGTCTGTATATAACATTCAATAGTCAATGCAAAGATGATTAATAGACAGGAATATGTGCCAAAAGACTATTGTATTTCATGAAAAGATTTCAAGGAAGTGTCTGTGAAATATATTTGAGAGGAGAGTCAGACTGAGGAAAAATGTGGGTCCTGAGGATAGACCAGTTGAGAACCACTGAGATAAAGTATGTTTTGGTACTGGCCCAGAAACCGACCCAGAGACTCAGTCACTTGTTTTCAGTCTGTTTCTGCTTTCAATGCAGAATGTATTGAAAGCCATGTAGCCCTGATGTGTTCATGCAGCCCTGATGTGTTCATGTAGCCCTGATGTGTTCATGCAGCCCTGATGTGTTCATACAGCCCTGATGTGTTCATGCAGCCCTGATGTGTTCATGCAGCCCTTCACTCTCATGCTGCTCCTTTAATAAAATATGTTCTTACTCAGCTCTCTGACTTTAATAAGTGTTAGCCCCCCTGGTGTTAATCATACCATTCATCTCTTATTTATAACCGTCCTGCCAGGGGGAGTACAGGCCTGATAAACAGCTGTCTGAGGAGGACCTGAAGAACGCCGTGTCTATCCACCACTCTCTGGCCATGAAGGCTTCAGACTACAGCAAGAGGCCCAACGTTTTCTACCTGCGCACCGCTGACTGGAGGGTGTATCTCTTCCAGGCACCGTGAGTCCTGTTTTATGTTCCTCACTGAGCTGAAGCCATATGTGGAGAATTAAACACACGCTGCACAGTTATCCCTGCCTGCAGTGTGTAGCGTGTGTGTGTGTGTGTGTGTGTGTGCACAGACAGCTGCATCTGCAGCAGACCTTAAAATTCAGACCATATCTAATGGGATAAAGAGAAACTTTAATCACAGCCTGCACAGATGGACTCCTGTCTTATCTCCTGTCTGCTCGAGCCATGTTTCTGTCTCTCTGTCCAAACACACAGTATGTGGTCAGAAGTATGTGGACACCTCTCTTTATCCATATTTGCACACTTTTTGGTCCAGAGATTTGGGCTGATCGGCCCCGAGGCCCCAAGGCCCCGAACATTAGTGCTCCACTGTACAGTCGGGCAAATTCACAAAAGGATTACATAACTAAACCTGCACAAAAAATACAAAGAGAAATGTTTAATTCTTGTAGCACCCACAAAGAGTGAAATGCACCTCTACCTGCTGCCAAGCAAATGGCCTCTCGGGGCTCTTGTGCTGCTCGCTCATATTCTAAATGAGGTAATATGTATATAGTTGATGTAACATGTGGCGCAGCTAATAGCCACACACAGTTACAGTGAAATTATGAACATCTTCAGAGCGCTGCTGAGAGCTGAGGAGGATTTATAAGGGGTGTCCTTCTATCAGAGAAGCCTGTGAGGCACTGAATGATATTTTTTCTTGTGTCCTCCTGTTCAGATTATGCCGTCCTCTTTTACAGTCTGAAGATGGAAACACCAACAGCACTGACAGACTGGGATATTAAATCCCAAATACACTTTCTCTCTGACAGGTTTAAATTCGTTGCCTGAAGTTGTGAGGAGAGTCTCTGCACCTCATCTGTCAGGACATGTAGCTCACAGTCTGAAAAATTTTTCTTTTTCTCTCTGTCGTTGTTCTTCCTGCTGCGTCAACATTTATACTTTGCCACATGGCTGATCAAAATTAGATGCTATCTGCAGCTGCAGTCTTTGTGATTTTATATGTCAATGTGTCAGGTTGCACTTCAGTCCCCAGGTCACTGTTCACCTGCAAAGGTCACGTGCAGCGCCGGTGCTGCAATTGACTCCAGAACACAAGGGGATGCGGCAGCACCAAAACGGGGCACCGAAATTTGTGATGTTATTACTAGCGTATACGTCCGCACGGTGTCGGTACCCATCCCTGTTCATGTACGGAATCAGGATTTTTTGCCATAGAAATGTGGAGTTTGTGAAGTGTTATACGCCTCTGTTACTGCCCCCAGTTATACCAAGCACCTGACTAGCTTTAGCTAAGCCTGCTGCCACATTAGTTATAGTGACTACCTACAGAGCATCATCATCATCATCATCATCATCTGATAGATCTGATCGCATGAGAGGACTTTAACTGTCTCACCTGGGAAACTATTAAAGCTTGTGAATGATGATAAAGATGGTGACGCTAAACAAAGTATCCCACTTAAACTCAAAAACAGAAACAAGAGTACAACATCATGCAACGTGGAAACATCTTAGTTCAGGAAAAACATAAGGTGAATAACAGCCAGAATAATTCTGTAGTTGGAGAAACTTAAATCCTTTACTCTGATTTACATGCACCTTGTTTACATGTAGTTTAAGAAATCATCCAGCAATCTGCTTATTGAAGTGCATGTAAACACATCACAAGTGTAAAACAATGTTCCTCCAGCTTTGTGGCAACAGTTTGGTGAAGGTCATCTTTTGTTTCACTGTGGCATTTACCCTGTGCACAAGGTCCGCTCCTTAAAGACCTGGTTTATCCAGAGCTTGACTGGTCTGCTCAGAGCTCTGAGCTAACACCTCTGGGATGAACTGGACTGTGAGCCAGACCTGACCCCAACATCACTGATGCTCTTGTGTTGACGGGGATCAAACCTGTGCAGCAGGTGCAACATGTGATGGAAAGACTGAAAGAGTGGAGCTGTCAGAGCAGCAGATCAGTGCCAGTAGTTTTGGATAGATGGGTAAAATACCATGCTGTCCACATACTTGTGGCCATGAAGTGTAGCAGTAGCGGGCTAATCACAGCTGAGCACCCAGCCCCAGCTGACAACATGCGGCGGCAGCTGCGCACATGTGGCCACGGTGCGCAGAACACATGCAGAGAGCACATGGATCAATAGACATGGTGAACAGGATGTACTGTAGATACAGTACGTGGACGTGAGGAGGAAAGGTGGAGGTGTGCATGTGTGTGTTATCAGGAGCCAGGCACATGAGTGGCCACATGTTTCAGCCCCCAGGAGGACACAGGCTCTGTGCTCCAGTTGCAGCTTGCATTTGTCCCAGATACTGTACCCCTCTGTGTGTGTGTGTGTGTGTGAGTGTGTGTGTCTCTGTGTCTCCTCCTCCTCTTTGTCTCTCTCTCTCTCTCTCTCTCTCTCTCTCACTGGGGATTTAAGCAAGGCTGTCTGATTCAATCTGATATTTCTCATGGGCCCCTAATGGCTCTGTGAGTGTGAAACAGGCCCTTTTCTCTCATGCATTAATTGGCTCCAAAATAATTTCTTTGTCAACAGCGAGGCTGCACTCTCTGATAATTATCCCTTTGATGTCGTCAGCTGGCCATGTGCTGATGTGAGCGTGTGTGTGTATGTGTGTGTGTGACCACCGTGTCAGATCTGTTTGTAACAGCTTTTTGTGTGTGTGTGTGTGTGTGTATTATCCATCGCAGGAACGCGGAGCAGATGCAGTCTTGGATCACACGGATCAACACGGTGGCCGCCATGTTTTCAGCCCCTCCTTTCCCAGCAGCCATCGGCTCGCAGAAGAAGTTCAGCCGGCCGCTGTTGCCGGGGACGATGTCAAAGCTGTCGGAGGTAATGTGAACAGCTGTTTCCAGTGGTGGAGGAAGGATCCAGCAGCAGCATCAGATCCTTTACTTGAGAAAAAGTGCTCATACCCCGCTGTGGAAATAGTAAAAGTCTTGAAAATGTTACTTAAGTGTCTTATTTTCATGGTGGATTCATCCACTGATTATTTTCTCCAATAATCAATAGATTTATTTATTAATTTAAAAATAGACAGAATAGAGTCGAGGGCTGCTCTCTGACAGTAGATGAGTCCAGCCATCCATTAGTCCCATTAGTCAACTTGAAATTCTTCAACTGGGGGCGCCCAGTACCTCAGTGGGTAGGGCTGGCGTCCCACGTACAAAGGCAGTGTCCGTGCCACAGTGGCCGCAAGCTTGATTCCAGCCCATGGCCCTTTGCTGCATGTCTTCCCCCCTCTCTTCCCCTTTCAAACTTAATCTGTTCTGTCCAATAAAGGCATAAGTAAGGCTACAGGACTATTCTGCAGCCATGTCTCAGAAGAAGTCTGAAGTTTGGCAGCAATTCAAACTTTGAAGGACAAAACTAACAAAGATAAACGGGAGGAGCCAGGAGGCCACCCTGCAGTTATCTGGGCTGATTTACTGTACATATAATGCAGGCAGTAAAGCCATTTACACGGCTATAATATGTGTCATGTAAATCTCTGCGTGGCCCGTCCTGCACACAGATGCATGTCTGCATGACTCCTTTGCATCTGACGATGTTCATGGCGTCCACATTTCTGATTGCTAGATCGTCTGTAGGGAAAAAAAGGAACAAATACTCAAGTCTTGGTCTTAAACAGTGAAATCTGATTCAGATATCAAAAGTCTGATCTGGGATCAGCCCTCATCGAAAAGTTTGTGTCTTAAATCTTGATCTGAAAAGTAACTGAAGCCGTCTGATAACTGTAGTGGAGTAAAGAGTACAGTATCTCCCTCTGAGATGTAGTGGAGTAGAAGTTTAAGTGGCATTAAAAGAAAAGGTTCAGTTACCTTAAATTTGTACTGAAGTACAGTACTCGAGTACTCAGTTACATTCTGCTCTGGGTATTTGTTGTCTCAGAGGGGCTGAACCTGCTGAGAGTCTCTGTGACATTCATCAGAGCGAGTCGATGAGAACTCTTTAAAAATTAGAGTAATGATCCGTTGTGTTCGGCCATTTTCAGAAGGATTGGACACGTAATTTTTCACAACATAACGGCAGAGTAATTAGAATTAAATTTTCATGAATAAACATTCCACTTAACACCGACGTGATTTATCACTAGTGGTCACTAATGGTTTGTGAGTGCAGGCATTTCATTCCTCATGTCGCTCTGTTGTGAAGAGAGAGAGGAAACACCTTTGGGATGTTTTACAGACAGTGTGAGAGAAAAATATTTAGCTTTAGTTATTTCTTCTAATAACAAGAGTATTGACGGTGTGGCGGTGAGCTTGTGGTTAAAGACGTTTGTCCCGTGATCACAAAATCCTTCTTCTGGGTCCAGCAGGGAACTTTGTTGCATGTCCCCCTCACTCCCTGTCACCTCTCCAAAAATGTGCCAAAAAAAGGTTATTGAAACGACACTGTGTATTTATTACATATTGATATTTATCACCAGTGCGACATACAGGATTGTTTTATTACAAAAAAAACTCAAACCTAATATTTAGCTTCAGGAAATCGTAGATAAATATTGTATGCATTCATCAAGTCTGTCTAAAAACACTGAAACTATAATAATTTCTCCTGCTCATACGGAACATTTGAGCCTTTGAAACCGGAGCATATTGGCTTGGGAAGAATGCAGCGAGCAACAAGAGGAGAAATGACCCCAAAAATTGCAAGAAATGGGTAAAAAGAGAAAATTAAAAACAAGAAAATTTGTAAAAAAAAAAAAAAAAAAAAACACACACACACAAACAGAATTTTAAACATATCATAATGATGATTTTTTAAAACAAGCTTTCATTTGAATCATTTTCTAATTTCTAATTAATTTCTGTGGAACAATTCTTACCAAGTTGCTCGTTGCCTTTCTTCTCCATCTTTTTGAAAGAAATTTAGAAAAGAAAGAAAAGTAGTGTCACTCCAGGTTTCTCTTCCCTCCAGTGTGAGTGATGGGGGACAAACTCAGCCGACCTTTTCTGGGGCAAAATGTCTTGAGAAGTTCATCTGAAGTTCATTTCAGAAGTCTGATTTAGACAAATCAGTCGCAGATTTTTTTTAGTGTGAAATTCCCTCTTTGTGTTTCTGTCCTGAGTTGCAGTGCAGAGATGGAAACACAGAGAGGGAGTTTGGTGCTGAAGAGATGATAACTTTAATACTCAGACTGCTGAAGACTCGTATCGACTTAAGATAAACTTGTGATGCAGTTTATACAGAGCAGGAACTTTATCCCCATCGTTTACTGTGGAGACATCATCATTTAATGTCCAGCAAGAACAAGAGGAAATGATTACAGCAAGAACAACTGTGAAAGCGTTCAGGCGGGCACCTGACTGTTATTTTAAGACCGACTTGAGAGGTGTATCTGTTGGTGATAGGTGCACATGTGGGCGGTGTAGTCAGAGCTGCAGCGGGATAAACAGAGGTGAAAATATTCAGATGCTTTACTTATGTAAAGTACTTAAACTGTCAGGCACAAAAAACCTTACTTAAGTAAAAGTGTGTGTCAGTGAAACGTACGTTAAGTATGGGAAGTAAAAGTAGATATTGTGCAGTCACATGTTCCCTCTCAGGGTTTTACTCTCTCTGATGATCACCGCTGCATTATTGTGTCTGTTGCATTTCTCGGCTGCAGATATTTTTACATATTTCTGAGCAGTTTAATCCAGTGGGTTTCAAACTTTTTGTACCCACAGGAAACCAAAGGGCCAAAATCTCCAGGCACACACATATCTGATATGTGACAGCCTCTGTAACATGTGTTATCACTCCTGTCCTGTCACCTCATCAGTGTTTGTTTTATTTACTAATATCAAATAACAATTGACAGCCAAACATTACTGATGATTCAAGAATTCATTTAAGCTTTTTAAAATTACACCAAAGCACCAACAACACATCCGTTTAAACAGGGATTAATGTCAGATAATGTGTCACACACAGATGGTTCCACGTGTTTTTGTTTTTTTAATTAAATGACATTTTATAAGGTAGAGTTTATCTCTTTATTAGGAAATGCGTGCACACAACATACTGATGCAGTCAATTAAAAATTCATTCATAACTTTTATTACAGGCCCAGTTCAATATTGCAGTAATAATGTGTGGTTATCACAGAATCTCCACAGCACACCTGGACTGGCATCATGTCACACCGTTAGATACCCGCTGGTTTAATCTTCTAGAAGACCGTCATATATATGTAGTGTAGCTGTCCTGTGAGAACCACGTATGTCTGAGAAGTTTTTCAGCTTTGTGACGATGCATTTTCCAAACGATGATTTAAAAAGAGTTTATTTAGCTTAAGAAGGAGAATTTCCTCAACACATCAAGGAACACTTTGTCCTTCAGTTCATCACAAATATTCAACATCAGTACATCTGGAGATACGTGGTCTTCACTGGACAGGAAGGAACTAAAGCTGTGGCTTCAGTTTGTACTTCAGTACAGTACTTCAGTAAATGTACTTAGATTCCACCGCCGGGTAAAAATCAGGCATTGAAACCTTCTAATTAAAGAAAGCCGGTGTTTATGATTTCATTTCCTCCCTCGTGATGTCACTGATGACCTTGTGTTCACAGGAGGAGCAGATCAGATCCCATGAAGCTCGCTTCAGAACCCTCTCCACTGAGCTGGCCGAGCTGCGCTCCTACCCTCCTGATCGCAAGGTCAAAGGGCGCGAGCTGGAAGAGTACCGGCAGCGAGACGAGTATCTGGAGTTTGAGGTGAGCTGGATTTAGAGAGAGACAGAAATAGGACAGGCAGCGAGGCATTAAATCATCATTACAGCACTGCAGCTCTCTCAGCTGTCTCTCTCTCTCTCTCTGCATCTTTATAGAAAACACGGTACGGCACTTACGTCATGCTGCTGCGGGCTAAAATCCGGAGCGGCGAGGAGGACCTGTCTGTGTTTGAGTCCCAGCTGCTGGAGGACAACGGGCTGCAGAGGGCTCACTCCAGCCCCACGCTGCAGGACAGCAGCCAGGCCAGCCAGATCAGCCAGGCCAGCAGCACCAGGGACGGAGGCAACAGCAGTAAAGCCAGCGGCTGCAGCAGCAAGCTTCGACAGGAAGGCCAGAGACACAGCTACCGGCAGGCCGTCAAGAAGTGAGACGGGGCGGGGGCGCCGGGAGCGGCACAGCGTTGCACTGCCAGCGGCAGGCTGTCTCCCTGCATAGGTTTTTATTTGAGATCCAGAGGGTTTGGAGCTCTGCTTGAAGGGGGAGCAGGAGTGAGGGTCCACCCCACGCCCTCCCCCGAACCATGACGCCCTACCCGGCACCCCAATCTTCTCATCGAACAGAGGAGGTGCAGATCCTGTGAGTGGCTGAGAAACACCAGCGAGGACGTTGGTGCAGGAGGTGGGAGGAACGGCTGGGAGGTCACAGGTCTGCAGAGACGAGGTGTCTTTGAGAACTGGGTGCGGCAGCAGACTGAACTGTGCAGCGAGATCCAGAGAAGTGCTTATAGATCGAACACGGCACCACACGGGGACGTACATCCAGCATCCTTTCCTTTTCTCCCCTTTGGTTCTTCGGAGGCACCTCTCCCGCCACCTTCTCCCGCCACCTTCTCCCGCCACCTTCTCCCGCCTTTTTTCTTGACCTTTCACTCAGTTTTGGGACCAAACATTTTAGAACATCACATTTTAGACGACTCAGTTGAATTACTACACTGACATGAAGCGCTGTAACAGTCACTAGACTTCATCACCAGGGTCTTACGGAGCCATTTTACATTCCAGCTCCTTGTTTTTGCCACATCACCGCGGTGTGTTCACATTCCACACAGGAGCCGGACATCACAGCTTTTAGCTCACTGAAGGTGGCATCAAGTTGGGACGGTGCACAACACGTGGTGAGGAAGTGTTGAGGTGTGGCTGCGGAACACGGTGACACGGTGCAGCTCCTCTTTTCTCTCGTCACTGACGGCTGGTTCGAGGCGTCAGTGGAACTTGACACTACTCCTGATATGCAGCAAAATGCATCTCATCTAGAGACTTTTGTTTTGTTGCTCTACTTGAACAGGCGATCTCTTTCCCAGTTGCTTTGGCTTCTGTCCCGTGGCGTGCTTCTGTTCTCTTTCTATTTCTTGGCCGAATGTTGTTTTTCTCCAGTGATCCGCATGCCTGCATCCAGCACTGCTTCTTTTAGGCCTTTTACTACTTTGAGGGCAGCAAACGTTGCTCTCCGGGGTCCTTTTTCTCCTCATGCCGGTGCCATAGCCAACACATGTAATCTGCGTCTGTACTTATAGCCTCTCATTTATAAACCCTATTTTAACACTCACCAGGCAGACCCTGAATGTTCTTGTTTTTTCAATATTTTTACGGTATTTTACAGTCGTTTGTTGATGTTGAACCTCCTGTGTACGTCAAGTGTATGATGAAATATGATATTGAAAATGTAAAATATGTTACCCATACTCTTTGTAAACATCCAGGATGTGTTGTACATATATATAGCGCACCGTCAGCTTATATTGTAGGATATATGAAGTATATATATTTACAATATATTCAAACACGCTATTGTGAAGATGCATTAGGTGCACTCTCTTGTAAGTCCTAAAAGCGCTACACGATAATCATGTGTTTATTTCTTACATGGTAATAATTCAGCACAATATGAGTATTATAGTGACGCCTATGTACCTATCAGAGATTAGTAAGTGATGGAGGGGTTGTGACGGGGTCACACACACACACACACACACACACACACACACACATGTGGCGGTGAAATAAAGCTAAGTCATGTGATTTCAGCCGCTGTGGGAAGTGATCCAAAGACAGCGCATGGTTGGCTAGCATGATTTTAAAGGGATCAGGGTTGTTGTCAGAGATGCATGAAAAAGGTGGGGAATGTATTACACACAAAAAAAAAAGGGAGGAGCTCCTGGTGTAGGAGGGTGAGGGCGGCCTGGTTTATGTTTTGGTTGGTAGCCATAAACGCCTCATAGCATCATAGCCATTCTCTACTCAGGCTTTAAAGTGACACCTTGAGCAGCTGCAGCGCCGGCGTCCAACCAGCAGGGAGAGCTGTCCACATTTTTTCAGCCATAATCACACCTGCTGCACCTGCAGTGAATATGCATGGCCACTCACCTGAAGGGTGGGGGCGGGTATCGCAGGGCTAAATGACACAACACCTGTTTGAGTTTGTTTCAGTTTTCGTCCATCTCGCCGTCTGTTGTGCAGCGTGTGCAGCGTGTGCAGCGTGTGCATGCTGCCACTGAGCTGGAGGCAGAATTATCCAGCTAGCTGTCGTGTCGTCTGAAGCTTCCTCCACCCAGCGTCAGTCCCCATGTTGTTTACTCTAAATGTGAATTTGTTTTTGGAACGCTTGATGAAATATTCAGGCTCAGTGTTTGCCTCCGGATCACGTTCTGCCTGCAGCTTCAGAGCTGAGACATAACTCCATCGACAGAAAGTCAGTCAGCACTTTTGTTTGAGTCGCTCTTCAAGCAAAAATGCAAAACATTCCCAGTTCCAGCTTCTTCTGAGTGTTTCCTTCTTTTCTGTGTCGTGTGTGACAGTGACACTGGGTATCTTTGGACAAATGGAGCACAGTGGAGACACTTGTGACTGCTGTTTTCACTGCTTTCTCAATTTGGTCCACCAGATGTTTTATCGATAACAGTGATGGGTGGAAATCGATTCTTTATGTCCAGTATGAACCGGCTCAGACTGTCGAACCTCCCAGTGATCATGAACCCCTCTCCAGTCGAGATCTTAGGATAGTGAAGGAATGACCCTCCCTGCGCTCCCTCTGATTGTCTGGTACTCTTTGCCTTTGTTGGTTGGACTGGTGAGGGTTAGGCTAAGAGTGTCAGGGTGAGCTGATCAGAGGCAGAGTGACGCAGAACATCCCAAATTCACCACCAGCCAGGGCCGATGGTGCATTCACTTGCTCCTCAGATGCTTGTCCTTCCAATTTCAGTATGTTCATGAGCTTTAGGGCTGCGTTCAGATATCTTTTCTTTTTCTTTCCAATAATCAGATCGGATTTGTGCGTCCAGACATCACCAACCTCTCTGTATGGGTTGCTGTGGTAACAACGTAGAGGTCATTGATTATGTAGCTGGTTCCAGCTGGTGTTGTCCTCTTTAGCACTCTGTTAGCAGCAGCATGGATCTGCTCAAAGACACTTTGAAATCCGATCCAGACTGAGACACATCCGTAAACACAGATTGGAATTGGAGTCAACCACCTCCAAATGTGGTTTGGATCAGATTTTAAAAACTTCATGTGGTTGTCTTGTTGTCTCGACTTCCCAGAATCAGTCTGGATGTGCCAAAACACAATTTGGGCTGACAGTCTGAACGAGGCCTCAATTACGATGTGTCGAACAAAACAACAACAGCAGAGGAAACAGATCAGCTGAGACCTGAAATGTGATTATTATTCCGACACCACATGAATGCAGCACAGGGCTGAGGAGGTCACTGGGACGTCGGCTACTTGCTCCTCAAAAGTGGAAAGCTGAATCAATGCATTGAAATCTTTGTTAGTGTAAATGTAGATGTGATGACTGGGAGGTTGTGTTGAACGTGCACGTGCCATAACGAGGTGTCACAGAGACACTGACACTGTGTATTGCAAAAATGATCAGAACTCAAAAGGTCGGAGAGGTTCGACACATTCACATGAATCGATCGGAAGACACAGAATTGATCGACCCGTCACTGATCGATATCAAGTTTATCTCTAACTCTCATCTTTATCTCCTCTGCTCCTCTCGTCTCTCGTCTCTCCTTCACCTCAGTCACTTCTCAGTCAGGTGTTTTTTAAAAAAAGGTTGGTGTGGATATTGTTGCCATGGCTGACATCTTGTACCTTTCAGCAGTTATATAACTCCACATCACGGCTCTGTATTTATTAATAGTGTTTGACTCTGCTGTTTATAATGTGGCCAAACTGTCAGACTCATGCTGAGTGCCATTCATGGAGGAGGAGGAGAAGAAGAGGGGAGGTCTGATTCATTCTGTCAACCTCAGATAAACACTGATGTTTCATACATGTGAGGACACTCATCAGATTTGATCCTGGAATCTTACATTTAGTTTTATCTCACACATCAACAGCTCTCCTTCACATTTATCTCTAACTGGAAATCTTTTTGCGTCCCAGTATCATTTGATGTCACACAGTCCCCTAAATGCACCGTTTATAACAATCATTTAGCACAAATGTCACCAGACAGTCCACCCTGCCTCTGTTCTAGAGCTTCTTCTTAATCCTTATCAAATTTCCCTTCATCCTTTAATTTGAGGTCAAGATTGAACTTTGAGGGGCGCCCGCTAGTTCATCTGGTAGAGCAGGCGCCCCTCAAAGTGTACAAAGGCTGCGTCCTCGTCGCAGCAGCTGCAGGATTGATTCCACCTCACACTCACTATATCTGTCCTGTGAAATAAAGGTAAACAGCTCAAAAAAATTATTAAAAAGGAACTTTCAGTTTCAAATGTGTGAAACATGTGCGTGAGAGCTGAAACAATTAGTCGGTCAAAAAGGAAATATTCTAATAGTTGATTCATCTCCATCTTTAAAGCTAAAGTGTCAAATATTTTCTGCTTCCATCTTCTCAAATGTCAAGACTGTTATTCTTTAACATATACGACATTAAATTAAATCAATTTGAATTTTTGGACAAAAGCATGTCGCCATCGACTGTCAGATTTTATATTTTTCACTATTTCTGACCATTGTCCCGCTGCTCCACAGACTGAGGCTAACGCCAGTAACTGTGCTCAACAAAATGTTTTGACTGTTCAGCCAGATGTGTTTTACAAATACTCGTATTAAATGGATCCTCTTAAAGTAGTTTTTATGCCTAAAAATCATGATCAGTGATTTGACCTTTGACCTCAGTGATGCACTAAAACTGTATTCACTAATTTAACTTTAACAGCGGTGCTGCTGATGTGAAGGCAAAGTGCAGTTTTTATTTTTATTAGATTCATTTTAATTTCATTTACAGACGTCTGTTTCAAGTTTAATTTTGTTGTAACATTCACGTCATCAGGTTTGAACTAAATTAGGACTCCTTGGCATCAATCATCATCTTCATCACTGATCTTGCTCTGGCAGGGGTGCCAAACTACGGCGTGTGGCCAATCTGAGACCTGCTTTTAAGATGGCCAGTGTCTCTTTTTTTTGTTGAATAAACTAGAATACGGCATGAGAATATTTCCAATAAATCACTCTGTGTGTACATTTCACAGCCGCGTTTTAACACAATGTTGCTGTCACCTTGAGCAACGAGGCTAACAGCTCCGCCACTGCATGTCGTGATTCCAACACTAGTTCAGTTTTATTTATAAAGCCCAATATCACAGATCACAATTTGCCTCACAGCTGATCAGGAGAAACTCCACAAGAAACCCTTTAACTGGGAAAATGATGTCGCTACTTCACCCACACTGATTGACTTCTAGTCCATAACAACTTAGACCTCAGTAAACGTGTTCATGGACCTGAAAAGACGCAGGATTGGGAAATACTTTTGTGATATGACCAGTAACCTGCTGTGATGTCAGATATGAAACTGTTCAGTGGTGTCGTGTCGTAACTTTGATAGTAAATTAATTTTCTGGTCCACAAACATTGATTTTCTTGCCGTGTTCCTGGTTGGAAACTGTTCATTTATTTGACCTGTAACCTCTTAAATGTTTCTGTACGTGTCCTACAGTCAAAGACGTTTGGCCCCTGTGCTGAGGTCTTTGTCAAGTTATTATTTTATCCATAATATATTATGTTCTGATACAACACGACCCCAACAGAATCTCTAGTAATATTATTACATCTACAGTGTTACACAACATGTGACCATCTGAAATAAACTGTTTTTATATTTTCAGTCGTCCACACTGATTCACACTGGTCCACACTGGTCCACACTGGTCCACACTGGTCCACACTGGTCCACACTGGTCCACTTCCACCAGTGGGCCAACCTAAAAACAGATGAGTGTTCTCAGCACAGGCTGTACGCTCTCCTTACACAGTATGGCTGGATGTGGTGTGTAAGACAGGCAGTTCTTCACAGCCTCCACCTTGACAAACTCTCCAAGGTCCTCCCTTCCTCCTCCTCCTCCTCCTCCTCTTCACCTCCCCATGTGTTGTCACCTCTCACTTACATCAAAGAGCAGCAGCAGGATCTCCATGGCACTGGTTAGCATGGAAATGACTGGTTCCCCTGGTGACGGCTCTCTGATGCTCGAGTGAAAGTCACCTCGTCGTCCTGCGTTCACGGCGGCAGAATACCTCTGTTAAAGCAGCAGTGCATGCCTGCGGCCAGCTGTCCTCTACAAAATACTGTTTTCATTTATGCCCATGAACGCCTCGTTTCTGAATGTAAATAAAGCATGAGATATTATGGCCTGTTTTCATTTATACTATGATTAGAGTATTACACAAAGGGTTAATATTTAAGGTAGGTCAACTGTTTTTCTGTTTTTTTTTTCTCGTCCTTGAGCTCATGGTCTTTTTTTATTTTTTTATTTCTCTCAATGTGAATGAAGGAAATGGCTATATTTAACGCTGTCGTACGCTGTTGTGTTTTAGAGACTCGAGCCGGCTCATACGAATCTTTTTACACGTAGAGGTCTGTTCTGATCCATCTCAGTGTTTTTTAGACTGGTGCAGGTAAGGCAATGTTCATCTAATGCTACACACACAGTGAGCTTCACGTGTCACTGCCTTGTTATAACTCACCAAGAAATGTTGTCTGTGAGCTTCTCACTTTGGGAGGCATAGAAAGTGAAAATAAAAGTGTTTTGAAAGGTTCAATGTGTCCGAGCATCAGTGTGTGAAATACAGTCATGAGGGGATGTGATACAGTCACTGAAAATAAAGACAGATTGATCTTTTGCCCCACGACATGTGTTTGACTGCTTCTTACTTTAAATAAGTATCACATACACTCATCTTTGGACAGGTCACCAGACTATCACAGGACTGACACATAGAGACAGACAACCATTCACACTCACATTCACACCTACGGACAATTTAGAGTCACCAATTAACCTGCATGTCTTTGGACTGTGGGAGGAAGCTGGAGTACCTGGAGGAAACCCACGCTGACACAGGGAGAACATGTCAGAGCACCTGGAGGAAACCCATGCTGACACAGGGAGAACATGTCAGAGCACCTGGAGGAAACCCACACTGACACAGGGAGAACATGTCAGAGCACCTGGAGGAAACCCACGCTGACACAGGGAGAACATGTCAGAGCACCTGGAGGAAACCCACGCTGACACAGGGAGAACATGTCAGAGCACCTGGAGGAAACCCACGCTGACACAGGGAGAACATGTCAGAGCACCTGGAGGAAACCCACGCTGACACAGGGAGAACATGTCAGAGCACCTGGAGGAAACCCACGCTGACACAGGGAGAACATGTCAGAGCACCTGGAGGAAACCCACGCTGACACAGGGAGAACATGTCAGAGCACCTGGAGGAAACCCACGCTGACACAGGGAGAACATGTCAGAGCACCTGGAGGAAACCCACGCTGACACAGGGAGAACATGTCAGAGCACCTGGAGGAAACCCACGCTGACACAGGGAGAACATGTCAGAGCACCTGGAGGAAACCCACGCTGACACAGGGAGAACATGTCAGAGCACCTGGAGGAAACCCACGCTGACACAGGGAGAACATGTCAGAGCACCTGGAGGAAACCCACGCTGACACAGGGAGAACATGTCAGAGCACCTGGAGGAAACCCACGCTGACACAGGGAGAACATGTCAGAGCACCTGGAGGAAACCCACGCTGACACAGGGAGAACATGTCAGAGCACCTGGAGGAAACCCACGCTGACACAGGGAGAACATGTCAGAGCACCTGGAGGAAACCCACGCTGACACAGGGAGAACATGTCAGAGCACCTGGAGGAAACCCACGCTGACACAGGGAGAACATGTCAGAGCACCTGGAGGAAACCCACGCTGACACAGGGAGAACATGTCAGAGCACCTGGAGGAAACCCACGCTGACACAGGGAGAACATGTCAGAGCACCTGGAGGAAACCCACGCTGACACAGGGAGAACATGTCAGAGCACCTGGAGGAAACCCACGCTGACAACTCTGCACAGAGGGACTCCCCCACCCTCAGGGTCCAAACCAGGAACCCACATGCTAAGCAACAGTGCTAACCACAGCACCATTGTGCTAACCCGGACATATTTAGTTGAGGTTCCAAAATAAATGCTAGGGATGGGTTAAGAGGTCAAGGCCAGGTGTTAGATTTTGCATGGATGGTGTATTGTCCAGCTGGCAAAAAACACCAGCAAAATCTAGCTAGTCCATAAGTACTTTATTGTTGATTAAGGTTCTGCACACATGAAGGTTGGGAGTCACTAATCTGGAGCATACAGAGCACACACAGTGGTTCTCTATTGCAAGATTGATCCTTTTCTTCATTAGCAAAGTCTTTTAGGACTGTCTCAATCACCCAACATGTATGTTTGGCTTAATGGGACAAAATAAAATCAGCTTAACTCCAAAAACAGACACGAGCTATAAACATTTTTTTTTTACTGATTTTAGTCAAAGGTTTGTGCAGCATAGTAGCTATGACAATTTTATGATCTTATGATTAAAACTAAACTAGCCTATGTCATTTTCCTCGCATCATGCATTGCAGGGTCAACTTACTGTTTGGTGATGTCACACCTATGAAGGCATGCAGTTCTGATTATGTAGAATATGATTATTTATGATTTGATTATGTAAAATTATTAAAGAATGAACTGCTTGGAAACCAGACCAGGCGTCTGATTGAGACAGGCCTTTATTTGTCCAAATGTGGAGCCACACCAGGCTGGTGAAAGGGACTCTGTGTTTATTTGATGTTTTGTGGTAAATAGAGAAGCTAAAAATAACAACACAACACCACTTTATCCAGTTAAAACAATACTCACAACTTGGATTAATTTTCATATGACTATAATTCTTTTGATGAAACATGAAGGAATATGAATAAGTTACAGAGTTATAGAGGAATGGACACACAGTCAGAGTATATGACTGTTTCAGAGATAACGTATGTAGTCACCACTTTCTTTTCATCTCTTGTTTACCAGGGCGATAAATCTCACTGAATCACTGAATCACAAGCACTTTGGTGCTTGTGATAGTTTCAGTAATGATTGAATTGTGGAGAACCGAGCTAACAATGTTGCATCTCCATACTGACAAAAGTTTAAACATTTATATTTATATGTGTCATTGAAACAACTAACTTAATGTTAGCTCAAGTGGGAAGCCAGCAATCTGATTCTGTACATCCAAAGAGCTACAATAGAAATGAACTGCCTGGCAACCAGACCAGGCCTCTAACGGAGACAGGCCTTTGTTTGTCCAAATGTGAAGCCACACCAGGCTGGTAAAGGGGACTGGGTGTTTAACTGGGGCGAGGCTTTAATTGATGTTTTAAGGTAAATAGAGAAGTTTAAAATAAATAATAATAATTGAAAGTTTTGAACAGCTGGCATGAGAAAAGAAGTTTATATAAACACAATAAAAGAGTTAGGAGGTCAGGTGAGATGCTCTGACTGACAGCAGCTAGTCTGGTCAACACATTAATGACACTCAGAGCTGTTGTTAGAATATAAATGTAACACAGTGAATGATGTTGTACGGCAGTGTGTCATCTATATAACGCGTGTAGTATACTTAAGCACAGTTTGGTGTCATTTATTGTTTAATTTGATGGTTGTTTCATCAGTTTTAGCAGTGGCTGAACGCAGCAGGTGTTTGCGCTGTTGAACGCGCCCAGGTTCATTTTCAAGAAACAGCCGGGGATTCTGGTGACGTCACGCAGGAAAGTACACATTCACACGGTGCCGCCGCTGCATCGACTCGAAAACAACCGAAAACAACCGGACGGTTCGCAGTTACACCGACACAACGGCTCATGACACGTTCATAGAAACACGAAGTAAGTGTCTAAAGTCTCTTTAGCAGCGGGAACATTTATTTAAACGTCTCTTAACCGGCGGCGAAGCCTTCATTTCCTAATGCTAGCAAGCTGGCGCCGACTGTTTCCTGGAAGGTAAAGGGCTGCCGTTGGTTGGCTAAAGTGTTGTCGCCAGTTAGCCAGTGTCGCCAGTTTAACCTGAGACATTGATATGTGAGTGTACCTGTCACATCTGCTTCACTTAGCTCAACAAGTCGCGTTTGTTACATCGCAACAAGACGTGTGAGACATTGAGCGTTGGTGTTGTGCAAGCAGTGATGTAATCTGACATTAGCTTGGCAGGTGTTCCAAGATGTAGCCAGGCCCCTGAGTTTTGTTCAGCTGGTTTGCTTGGTTGGAATTCAAACATCGCAATCATTTAGATTATTATTGTGTTCTTTACAGAGTAATGTGTAGATTATTGTCTCAGTTGTTCTGCACATTATTGTCTCGGTTAAACGTTCGTCTACTAAATATAAGACACAGTGACAAAGCTGTTTACATGAAGTGACCTCAGCAATTGTCTTGTTTTGTCCTACTAACATTATTACAGCCAAAAATATGATGACATTTATTATGATATATGATATATGATGGAGGAAACAGCAGATTCTCACATGTGAGAACCTGTAAATATATATATATCACATATTTGGCACATTGTGCTTGTTAATGAATCAAATTATCACAAACATCTGCCAGTTGATTTTCTGTGGATCAAGTAATGGATTAATTATATACTGGTTGCAGCTCTTTGGTGACCATAAATGCCTCGAGTATAAGTTAACCCTGTCATGTTATTTCTGCACTTTGCCCCAGCTTGTGTGACAACAATGGAGAAACCTCCCTTCAGGCAGAACCAGAACTGCGGAGACTGGGAGCTGAAAGAGAGGCTGGGCATGGGCGGCTTTGCCCATGTTTACCTGTACCAACATCATGTGAGTCTCGAGCTATGTCACCCAGCGTGACACTGCACTAGTGTTGTCACGGTACCAAAATTGGGACCCACGGTACGATACCAGTGAAAGTATCACGGTTCTGAGTAGTATCAGGATACCACAACGAAAATGAGGCAGATGTGCCTTTTGTCATTTATAAAAAGATAAATCACTTTTCTATAATACATCAATGATATTTCAATGGAATAAATTACTTATTGTCTTATTCATACTTCAAAAACAGCATCAATAAGTGATGAACATAGGGGGGATCAAAATAAAATAAATAAATAAATAAATAAATAAAATAGAAATCAACCAAAAATCAACCAGCCACCCTCCTCCCCTGACAAGTAAAGAACAGTCCTTTCATAAGTAAAGAACAGTCCCTAAAGTGCGGTGAGGTTTGTGGACCGTTACCTGCCACAAAGAGAGAAATGTGAACGGCTCGTTTCTCCTCTGACACGCCACATACCTGTGTGCCGCCACGATTCGGCTGTTCAGCTACTTCTGGAAGAGGAAATTATTGGACCTGGAGCCGGGCTTCTCGGTCGCCGGTAAGCCGTTATCTTGCGGTGGCCATAGTGCTCCGCTGTATTTCCTGTCTGTGACCCCCGTTCAACCCACAACCGGCAAGAGTCTGCTGAATGATTTCTTTTGCTTGCACAAAACTATTTTTAGTCTCAAATGGAGTAAAATGCTCGCACCGTAGAGCTCTGTGGAAAACAAATCACTGTAGCATATATAAACAAATCTAACCTACAAGTAAAAAGAAATAAATAATAACTTTCACTGCTTAAAGATACTCAGTAGCTCAGCTAATACCTGACATGTCACTGGAAAACAAACCACTGCAGCAGCATATGGAGTGCCAGGTGGCCAGCGCGTGCCGTTATTGGACAGCGCATGGACACTCACCCTCTTGTGATTGGACTTTGAACTTATCCCACAGTAGTGGTATCATGAGGTACTCCAACATTATGGTATCATATGTACCATGGTGTTTAAGTACCACGGTCTACCGTTGGTACCAGTATACCGTGCAACACTACACTGCACACGTGATCCTGAAACAACCAGTGTCCTAACTGTGTCTCCACGCACCTGCTTTGTACTGGTATCAATAAAAGTACTCGTAGTATTTGTTGTGACATGTTATGAGACATATGGGGGATAGCTCCTTCTAAAGTGCACATCAGCTTCTATTTTGGTTCTGCTCTTATGCTCTGATAATAATGAAGTTTGTGTTTGTCTGCTTTGTAGGAAACAAATGAAAAACTAGCTGTGAAACTGTGCCGTCTGGAGCTCACACCAAGAAACAAGGACAGATGGAGCCGAGAAATCCAGATCATGAAAAAGTTGGACTTATTTTTTTATATATCTTCCTCCTGTGGGGGACATTTATATAGCACTTTAATTTAAAGACATTATACAGTTGTGTCCTGCTGTCATAGTGACGATACTTATTCACAGTTATTGTAATTATCTAAAGGAAACTGCAGACATTCAGTTAGATACATGATAATGTCTTGCAGGCGTTGTAGAAGTGGATGACTGTGCAAAACCTGTGTGGACATCATTAAACAGTAATGTAGTATTGACGATGACTCCTCTCTCACTCAGGTTGAATCACATCAATGTCGTGACAGCCCGAGACGTCCCGGAGGAAATGAGGCACATAGCCTTAAATGATCTTCCACTGTTGGCCATGGAGTACTGTTCCAGGGGAGACCTGAGGAAGGTGAGGGGCTCCTGAAGGGAGGCTTACAGTACATCATTGAGACAGCTAGATTTGAAAATGCATTCTTAATTTGTTTTTGTGTTTGGTCTTACACTCCCACAAAGAGAGCAGCTGTTTTAAACCCAAAAATGTAGTGTGGACAGGAAGAAGCTTCACTGCGTCTTTTCTTATCTACAAATATGAGAAACATGTTATTCATTCCACTGCTGAGTGACCGAGTGTTGGTTCACCTGCAGAGCAGCCCCACCTCACTCAGCTTACACCTATATTACACCTATATATTTTCAGCTTCGACACCAACTGTTGTCTCTGAGCTGTCTCTATCTCTGAGCCTGTAAACGGTGTAGCTGCTTGGCGCTAGTGTTATTATAGCACAGGATATTCACACTTTGGTTTGGAAACAGTTGCACTTGTGCACAGCGTCAGATACATTCCTGGAGCTTATACCTATGTTGCTGAGAATAATGTTTCAGCATGTCATTTTACTAATCTCTATAAACAGACATCTGCATATGTGTGCACAACCTGTTGGCAGCAGGACAAGAATTTGGTATCAGAGGTGTGCTGGGGTCTCATTTATAAACACTGCGTGCGCACGCTTATGAACATTTTGGAGTCAGGAAATTGGCGACGCAGACGGTGAGGTGGAGCCTGATTGTAGAAACTGTTGAATATTTTTTGATGCACGCCATTTTTGGCTTTTGTTTGTTTGTACGTTTTTATCATGGATCCTACGCATTGTTTTGTAAATGAAACCCCTGGTTTCCATTTGTAGTCTGAGTCGTAATGACCAATCACGTCTGTGTGGAGAAGCAGAACAGTTTGGCCAAAACTGCAATCTCTGAACCCATTAGCTATCGTCTGATGACAAGTTAGATTAACATCATCTTATTTTAAATGTGTCTTCATTCATATGAGATTAGCCAAAATGACTGCCGCATGGAGGAGAAAGTCTTGATTGGAATATCTGCTGGCTACACCAGATCTCCCAAAATATTGCCCCATGCCAGCAGGACCTTTATCGTCGTCAGAGAGATAACAGATGGGTTCTGAGATTATCATTTTCCAGACATTACAAGCAGCATTACAACATCTTTCCTTGTGAAATGAAGCCACGACTCCTCCTTGTCACGTGTTTCCAGCAGCGTAGATACACAAGTTTGACATTATTGTTATTTCAGCTGTCAAATGAACATACAGGTAACGATAAAAGAAACAGAAAAGCTCGGGGGCATACAGTTCAGATTGATCCTAAAGTTTGTAATTGGTTCATAACTTGAACCGGTTCTTGATTCCCATCTCTGAGCCTACGTAAGTCTCAAGTGTTCTTGTGTTCATTATCTGTGAAAGCATCAGATCTCACAGTCGGAGAAAGTAAAAGTGAAAGTATTAGTGTCTGATTCAAAAGCAGTGAAGTCGACTTCACCAACATTCAGAACCAGAGCTGAGAGCATCAGAGCAGCCAACAGACATGAGTCAGGCTCCCTCCCTGTTTACGTCACCCTTCTTAACTTCAGTCACACTTAGTTTTGTGTTTATAGGAGGACATTTTGAGACAAGACTCTGTTTATCAAGTGTACAGCCTGCCTTGTGTGCGGTTACGCAGCTAAAAAAAGGCAGTCATTCAAATGATAAAGTGCAAATGGACTCGAGGTCTTTTTGACTAATGACTGAGGTCATGGACTTTCAGGGGGCAGCCCTGTTGTTCACTTGGTTAAAGCTGTAGTGTGGGACTCTTGGGTATAAATGAATGTCCTTGGCACGCTAGTTCACACAATGCTGATTACGACTGTTGCCGCCAGGGAGAGCTCTCTGTAGTTTACTGTATATCAGAGTTGTGGTGTGTGAGTGAAGTAATGCATTTTATCTCAACCAGCCAGAGTGCAAGAAGACAGGAAGATAGATAGACAGACCTTTATTGTCACTGCACAAGTACAACAACATTAGGTGGTTATCCTTGCCCGTTTCAAAGAGCCAAAAAGGATAGATGAATAAAATGCAGGGCGGCACGGTGGTGTGGTGGTTAGCACTCTCGCCTCACAGCAAGAGGGTTGCCAGTTCAATCCCGGGCGTGGGAGCCCTTCTGTGCGGAGTTTGTATGTTCTCCCCGTGTCAGCCCTGCGATAGTCTGGCGACCTGTCCAGAGTGAACCCTGCCTCTCGCCCGATGTCAGCTGGGATAGGCTCCACCCCCCCCGCGACCCTCAAGAGGATGAAGCGGTTAGAAGATGAATGAATGAATGAATGAATGAATAAAATGCAACTATGACAAGGAAGTAAAAACATAAAAGACAAAACATTGTCACATTTGCCCACACGCTTTATTGCGCAGACTATCATACTGCACAAGAGTTCACAGTGTATGTCAAGTGTTCATTGCTCTGAGGTTAAAACTATGCTTCAGTCTGTTTGTCTGTAGACACTTTTACACTGCCAGATTTTTGGCGAATGTTGGGTCGTTTTGCCGGCAAGCTGCGAGCGTTTAGACACACAGAGCTGGATTGGTGAGTTGATCCGAGGTGCCCAATTTTTTGCCTCGTAGGGTAGACATATTGGTGGAACCCTTTTAGTTTAAACAGAACGAGGCAGCCTGTTGATGACTTGTGGGAGGAGCTGTTGATGACGCCGCATGTGCGAGCCACTGGCGGTGGATAAACAGGAAACAGCTGATAGCAGGAATTAGCGAGCAGCTAGTAGCAAGAGGGAAACACAAATCTGACAGACACTGTAAAGATGAGCAACTGGGGAGACAAGGAATTGCGCGCCCTCCTTGTCCTCGCAAACGAAGAGGCCATTAACCGTCAGATGACGGGGACGGTGAAGAACGGGCCGACTTACGAGAGAATCGCCGAAGGACTGACCAGCCGCGGCTTCCCTCCCACGTCACTGTTTACGTCACACGCTGAGCTACACGTTTTGTTACTTGCTCACGCCCCCCATTGCCCTGAAAAAGGCACATTCTGTATAAACAAAAGTAGGTAGGCGGCATTTTGCTGCACTCCCTGATTTTGTTTTTATACTGCCAATGCTGAAAAAACACTGATTGGGCTTTCCTGCAAATTTGCACAACTCCTGTTTAAAAAGGGCTAATGATTTAATGACCCTGAGACGCCTTCCAGAGGGCAACAGTTTAAACAGGTGATGTTCAGGGTGGGATGGGTCTTAAAGAAGAGGCAGTGAGTTCTTAGTTGTGAATGTGGTCAGGTAGGGGAACAGGCAGCCATTGATCTGTTGGGCTGTGGAAGTGACCCTCTTAAGAAGGGAGAGATCAGTGATGGATGACAGGAGCTGTGACAGAAATTCCTAAGAAGCGTGCAGGAAGAATTAAGGTTAAAAATTACCTGCGGGCAAGATGGAGCAAGCTCACCTACATATGTCGTAATAGCACCCTGACTGTGTTTGTGTATTTACTGTACCTGCTGGAGGGGAAGACAAAAGTTCGGCACTCCAGCCTGGACAGGCAGCATTTATACATTTTAACGAGTTTTAATGCTCAATCAGTCGTCTGACAACAGGAACAGAAAATAAATGTAAATTAAAACAAGTAAACTGTGAGTTTTGGTTTTATTAAAACAAAGTAGAGGAGAGCAGGAGGAGGCAGAGCGGAGGATTAGCCAGCTGAGAGTCAGAGAGGGAACAGGGTTACTGCACATCTGTCTTCTCTCTAGATGCTGGTTGTGATGCACAGTTTTGTAGTTTACTCACAGAAAAAGGATGAAGAAGAAGACATACCTGTTTTTATTATTTAGGGTGTTTCAGCATGGATTGATGTTGATTTCAGATTTACCTGGCTCAGTGTGGTCTTTGTCTTAAACACTCTTGCATCACTTACAACACTCCGTCATTCAAGATACTCACTGTCATATCATGTATGTGTGAGACTGGGTTTTCTTTCTCTGCAATTTAAAATCAATTCACTGCAGATATGAGAGAGTTTCCTCATGTGTTACAGATGCTGAGCAAACCTGAAAACTGCTGCGGTTTGAAAGAGAGCGAAGTGCTTTCGTTACTCAATGATGTTGGTACGTCCAGTGTCTCTCTGTGGACAGCTGTTCATTCAGACGTGTCTTTTTTTAGAGCCTCGTCATTCAGTTTAATCACTGTGTTCTGCTGCAGGATCTGGTATCCAGTATCTGCACGAAAACAAGATCATACACAGAGACCTTAAACCTGAAAACATAGTGCTGCAAGATATCAACGGGAAGGTAAACTAACTCTTGATGGGTTGATGTTCTGTTTGAGCTCATGTCTTAAAGAAACATTGACTTATTCTTCCTCTGCAGCTGGTTCACAAAATCATTGACCTGGGCTATGCTAAAGACCTGGACCAGGGCAGTCTGTGTACCTCCTTTGTTGGCACGCTTCAGTACCTGGTGAGCAAACACTTAATTCTCTATCCCCAGAAGCTTCTAGTGTTATGTATTCTGTGACTCATATTGAAATCCTGTTATCTTCTTCCTGCCAGACAATGTAGCTGTTGATCAAATGTATGATGCACTTTTCTCTGCAGGCCCCTGAACTGTTTGAAAATAAGCCATACACTGTTACTGTGGACTACTGGAGCTTTGGCACCATGGTGTTTGAATGCAGTTGTGGTTTCCGTCCGTTCCTGCACAACCTTCAACCCGTGCAGTGGTGAGTTGATCTGATAAGCAAATATTTATGACATTTATTAAACTAGGTAAAGAAAAATGTATCAGAGACTTGAGGCAGCTCACAAATCACAGAAAGGTTACCTTGATTCAGCTCGTCAGTCTACAGCAGAGGTTGAGTCAAAGGAAAGACCTGAGGCAAAGACACTAAGTGACATGAAAGGTACAGGTGCATGCTGGTGTTCTGGAAACAACCAGACGCTTGTTGTTGTAGTTTTGTCTCTGATTTGGCCGCTCAGCTTATCCGCTGCGAGGGTCATAAGGACAGAGGGATGTTGTATGCTGTAAAGCCCTGTGAGGCAAATTGTGATTTGTGATATTGGGCTTTATAAATAAAATTGATTGATTGATTGATCACCAACAGTCAACAGTCAACAGCAGCAGAGGGTGTGACACTCAGCACATGTTGGCAATTTAATTACTCTAAAACCCTCAGTGCCCGATTCCACAATGTGTCAAAAGTTGTACTCCTTCTCTGAGTCATAACTCAATCAAATATGAACACAAAGACATAATGCACATATTTATAGATTCAGTGTGTTTTAAGCCCAGTTCAGACCAAAGATTTGTGAGGAGACAAGTTGAAGCAATGCACCCTTCTGCAACGTTCTAAAAGCCTGCCGGTTCACACCAGTGCAACCAGATAAGCAGTAGTGATGAAACGGCAGGAAACATAAACAAGTTTCAGATTCATAATAAATACGCCACAATGATATAAATAACCAGCACCAATTAATCAGGACAGAGGTTTGATTCTGAGCTGAGGGTGAATTCTCGCTGTGTAATATTTGAATGTAAAGACAAAAACTGATGTCCAAAGAAATGATTGATGTGCATAAATTCAGTAACTTAAGACAGTCCTGAGTAACAAACTAATATCCAGCAGGATTTAGACTGTGACAGACGGTAAATCTCCGCTAATGAATGCGCTTCCATACAAGCTTTGACACGGACTGAATGAATTAGGAAATGAAACAGCGTGTAAGAGGGAGGAGACAGAGAAACACTCAGGGTTTATTGAAGAAAACCTGCCAGCGAGCAGGTTATGTTCACAGAGTCTGTTACCAGGGTTAACATACTCTGAGTTTTCACATAACCTGCTTTCTGGAATACCCCCCCGGTCTACCTCCATTGTGTACCAGCTGTAAACCTGTTGTTGTGACCACCACAGAAGCCCCGCCTCTCAAATCACCCGATTGCACAATGGGAAAAAAAATGACGTGGGACATTTTTCTGCTCTGAGTCGAGGAGTTCAGAGCACTCCAGCAAAACACGCCATGCATCCAGAGAGCAGAAATGCGAGGCGTGACGCGACGCAAAAACTGCGAGCAAAAAGCTTCATTGTCATTAAAAACAATTAAAAAAAGACACCTCCAGCTGCTAAAACACTTCTTCCATAAATTCAAATACACTGTTTTCCCTGCCTATCAAAGATAATGGCGGGCCGCCTTGGTTAAAGCGTGTGTGCGTACATGGGGGCCTTCAGATGTAGCATCTTTTGCGCACACAAACCCATTACGCACAGCTCCACGGACCTGCTTCTCCCTCCGGGGTTGTGTCAGATCCCGGTTCCCCCTCAGGCTGTGTCTCGCCTAGTGTTTCCCAGGGAGCTCTGCCCCATTTGAAAGGCAAAGGAAGCCCGTATGTGGAAAGACATCGCCTCCGAGATGTAGAATGTGTATTATAGAAGAGAAACACACATTTCAGGACCGCTGACTTGTATCATCAGAACAAACATGTCCTGTGAGGGGGGACAATACCTGACAGTAAAGGGTTAATATAATCACAGAAGGCTGAAAATCACAGGACATGTCTGTTCTGATTATACAAGTCAGCAGTGTAAAGCTCAAGCATGTGAGGGCCTCCTTTCATATTTAACAGAGGAGCGTATCTAAAAGTACAGCTGTCAAGATGCCCCCCGCCACAGGCCTTTGCCTCCTTGGTCTCAGGGAAAACCCTGAAATAAGAGTGTTTAGATAGATAAGATATGAAGTAATAAACCCAAGCTATGCAACACAATTAAGAAAACTGAGGTAAGCCTGAAAATAAAGCAGGCCAGCAGGTTGAGCCAAATCACAGAAAGTATCATAAAAAAACTAGCTTACCTCCAAACAAAACAGAGGACAGCCACGCCTACACCTGGTGTGTTTGACAGGGATCATTGCTGCATGGAAAATGAAGCATTTTACTAAAAGCCCTCATTTATAACATCACAAATTTCTACAAGTGTTCCGTGTCAATGGTGGCTGGAGTAACTGACGCCAACACTTACATTTTGAAGTTTTTGAAATTTGAAACTTTTATTTTCCATCAAACTACTGCTCTGCTTTTGTGCTTCACATAGAAAATAAACAGGAATCATGTTAAGATGTAAAACTCTCCATCATCTCCATCTTGTGTCTTGTGATCCACAGGGCCAGCAAAGTGAGGAATAAAGGTCCAAAAGACATCATGGCTGTAGAGGAACTGAACGGAGAAGTCAGGTTCTCCACACACCTCCCCTACCCCAACAATCTCAGCAGGTCGGTGTCCTGTGACTGCTAAAAATATCCTGTTTCAAACACTGTTCATCCTGCAGTGAGAGCGAGAGTTCATTGTTGTCCATTAGTCACTCAAATGAAAGTGAAAACAGAGCAGAGCGACAGGCTGCATGTTCACAGTGTTTGGTGCCAGTTTCTCTCCTTGAACACACATTTTAATTGCTGTTATTTAGGACACTGTTGGAGCCGATGGAGGCTCTGCTGCAGCTGATGTTAAAGTGGGATCCTGTCCAGAGAGGAGGGAAAGTCAACGCTGATACTAAGAGGCCCATGTGCTTTGAAGTGCTGGAGCAGATACTGAGTATGAAGGTGAGTTAGTGCCAGAGTTTTATCTCAACATTCAGCCTTCATCAGTGCTTTGAGCCAGTCGTATCTGGGTCAACCAGCATTTACATATTTCTCTATTAACTGATAGCCTTCATTTCCAAAATGTTGATGACTGTGGTGTCATCAGCAGGGCGGGGTTTTGTTTGAATTCACTCAGTATCTAATCAGAGAATGAGTAAACAAGATTAGGAATCTGAACATTTAAATGCCAGCTTTCACTGCCTGCCAGTTTTTTAATATTTGGTGTTATGAACAAATAACGACACGTAACATGTTTGTGCACTCACAAAAAGAAGAATAAAAAAGACAACATCTCTGCTTCTGCTGCATTAGTTTGATCCCTTTTAAACATCAGTGACATTTCAGTAAACGATGACGAGCACTTTCTGTACTGAACAGTTTTCCTCCTCTTGTCTCTCCAGGTCGTCCACATCCTGAACATGACCACAGCTCAGGTCCACTCCTTCCAGCTGACACCGGAGGAAAGCCTCCACAGTCTGCAGAAGCGCATCGAGGCCGAGACCAAGATTGAAGTGGTGAACCAGGAGCTGCTGCAGGAGACGGGAGTGTCACTGGATCCCAGGAAGCCCGCTGCACAGTGTGTCCTAGATGGAGTGGTAAGGTGACACTCATGCAGCTTTTTACTGCGAGAAAAAACAACTGAAATCACGACTGACTGCTGTAATTCACTTCTAAACCCCTCAAGAGATTGTTTTATATTGAACACTTCAAGGTCCAGAGGTTTTATTGTCGTCCCATAACATGGTACATAGGACGTAAAGGAACCAAACTAGTTTCTTAGGTCTAAGCTAAAAAAAAAAAAAACAGGTAGCAGCGTTGATTGATTATCAAAGTCTGTGTGAGCAGCATTCAGTGAGGCATAGCCAGTCTACAGCCTGCAGGTCACGCTGCACATAGCAAGAACATTTCAGTCAGGTTATTTTTCACTTGGATGCCACATTCAAAGTCACTTCAATCACCTTTCTTCATCATTCTGATGCTCCGTTTGAACTTCAGCAGCTCCTCTTCACCATGTCTACATGACTAAATGTTAATGAGTTGCTGACACCTGATTGGCTGATTAGCTATTTGCATTAATGTTTGCAGTTGAACAGGTGTACCTAATAAAGTGGCCAGAGAGTGTATTTGCAGGCTGTGTCAGTGGTGATATTCTTTCTTCTCCCCTGTGCAGAGAGGGTGGGACAGCTACATTGTCTACCTGTTTGACAAGAGCATCACCAAGTACCTTGGTCCCCTCAGTGCCAGACAGCTGCCTGATAAAGTCAACACTATTGGTGAGTCTGTTTAAACATATGCCTGCTGGTGATGAGACTGTTCGATGCACCTTGATGCATCAGTTTGATATATTTAACACTCGTTCTTCCTGTCTCTCTCTATTAACTTGTCGGGTGTAAAGTTACTGTACGAACACCATCCTGTGTGATGCATGAAGCCACTGAGTGGCAGTGTTGTGTTTCCTTACTCTGTCTTAACACCACAGAGTTCATCTCTTATGGGTCTTGTTTAACTCTGCAGTGCAAGAAGCCAAGACACAGCTGCCCCTGGTGGTGCTAAAGAAGGTTTGGGGTGAAGCAGTGAGCTACATCTGTGGGCTGAAGGACGACTACAGCAGACTTTTCCAAGGACAGAGAGCTGCTATGTGAGTCACAGGAAAGATTTCTGTCATCTGTTACTGTATTACCACAAAACATGAGGTGCATTCAGCTGACGAAAGAATCAGGAAGTCAGCAGTTTGTGTTTCTCCCAACTTAAATCTCTGTTTTAATGTTGCTTGCTTTTTTTTTTTACATCAAATCATTGATGGTTTTGGAAAGTCATGGAGTATGTTGTGTTTAATTTTTACAGTAGCGTCCCGTCTTCCAAGCACTGTTGATAACAGCAAATTTATATTTGAAACCATCGACGTCTGCGTGGCTCTAACATGTGTCTGTGTGAAGCTTGTTTACCGTCACGTACCTTTCTTAATTTTCCCCCTGCGTCCCCTCTCTGCCTCGTCATGTATGTCACAAGCCGGACTTGTGTTTGAATCTGATTTGTTTGAAAAAAACACGGGACATGAAAAAACCATATCCTTGAAAAGTCATGGGAAAGTTTTGAAATTTTGTCCATGAAAACATGTGGGAACTCTCTGAAGCACTGAGCTCTCTGTTCCTCCTCACACTTGGGCCTTTTCAACTCTCACTTTTGGCCGTGCTGAGTAAAGAGGCGCTGAGCTTAGCCGGAGATGGCCCTTCTCCAGAGTAGGTCCAAAAACCCGGCCGCACGCACTCAAATGAGCAGCGGTGACATCTTGCCGACTGCAGCCAATCCCTGACAACCTCACTTCTTCCCCTTCAAACAAGCTGTGTGAGTGTTGCAGACTCTGCTCACCTGTGTCTGCAGCAGACCAGAGAGACAGGTGTCTTTAAAAGTCTGTGTGTTCAGCTCTCAGTACGTCTGTAGCTTCTAACTGAATCTCTTTTGGTTTGGAGTTTAGTTTCTCTCCTGCGTCCTGTTCTTACTTTACATATCTGCTTTATTTTACTGTTTGATGTTCACTCTCGGCCATATGACAAAACAGCGGGGGACTTTTATTGTGAAGAATCAACAGGAAATGAATTGTGTTAGAACTGAATTAGCAGAACTTTGTCAGCGGCTTCTCTTCAATAAAGATAAGTCTTATAATACAGCCACAGTGAGAAGTTGATGAAGAGCTGCAGACAACAGGCTCTTACAGCACCTCTGCAAACAGCTCACCTCCAGCAGGTAAACTTGTGTTACCTGCCCTGCTGTGGGGAACTTCAGCCCGCTGCTTTAAAATAGCATCACATAAGACAAGCCATCATTAGTTAAAGACACACTGTCAAGCCTGTAGCCATGCTGTAATGGAAATGCGAATCCCTGCTGTGCTGTACTGACGGCCCAAACCAAGCCATGACTGTCGCATTAACGGCGTCCTGGTCACTGCTGACTCGTTCTGTTAGCTTGGGGAGGGGGAGAACAGCTCACCAGCTGCTTCAGGTGCTTCACACCTGGTAGTTTTGCAGCCAGCCACACCATTTCATTTTGACCCATGCTTCTGCTCCAGTGGTTCCTTTTCGTCCTTCAAACCTTTCTAACCCTTAACTGTTTTCTTCCTCCTCGTCCAGGCTGAGTCTCCTGCGCTACAACACCAACCTGACCAGGTGTAAGAACAGTATGTTTGGCTTCTCTCAGCAGCTGAAGGCCAAGCTGGACTTCTTCAAAAGCAGCATCCAGTACGACCTGGAGAAATACAGCGATCAGATGCACATCGGCATATGTGAGTGTTTGACTGGGTCTGATACTTGACCCTCAAATGGAAAATATTTCAATAGCACTAAGTTTATTTTGATGTTTGTTTAAAGCCTCAGAAAAGATGCTGAAAGCCTGGCAGGAGAACGAGGAGAGAGCTGCTGCGTTTGCACAGGTGATGCACTTTTACAAAACAAAATATTGAAGTTAAAAGCATTTAAAAGGCCCGGTGTGTTTCTCAGTACCACCCCTTATGGTGGTGTGATTCATGGTTTATCCTGCAGGTGGCAGAGGTGAGCCATCTGGATGATGAGATCATGGCTCTGCACTCAGAGATAGTTGAACTTCAGAGGAGCCCGTATGCTCGACGCCAAGGAGACAAGATGGAGCAGCTGTGAGTGTTCATGTGCTCTGACGATAACCGTAGTGTTTCTCTCATGGTGCGCTGGGTTGAAAGACAGAAGTGATGATATGATGCTTTCTGAGCCCGAAGGTTCTTCTTGTGTTGGTGTGTGTACATGCTGTACATGATAATGTGCACAGATGGTTTGGTCTGCCCAGAGGATGATGATGATGTCAGTCAGGTCAAAACGTAGGACAAAGTTGAATCACACACTGTATATCATGAGACATATTTCCAGTCGGTCAGTCTTTCTGACATTTGTTTCAGCACCATCATATACTGCATAGAGAAGTGGTCAATAAATTTTATTTTCTCATTTATATAAACCTTTATTTAATACTCCTGTTGAGACTGAGATCTCATTTTCATGAGAGACGTGAGTGCATAAATAATGACATAAAACAACCAATTTAAAAAGAACACTAAAGCACTGTGTGTAATAGAATAAAATCATGTGTCAATTAAATCAAGTTAAAAACAGTCACAGCTCCTTCACTCACACACACACACACACACACACACACACACACACACACAAGCTCGCTCTCATTTATTTCCTAGTCCCCACTCCCTTCCTCCGTCTTCACAAAGTCATTGCAGCTATCCCTCTTTCCCTCACACTGCCCCCTACACTTGGTAGTTCTGCCTCTGTATGCAAACATTTACACAGTCATTGTGTCACTTACCATCTGGAGGTGTGTTACATATTCATCCCACTGTCACCAGCCGTCTGAGTGTGGTTGGTTAAACAGGGGCACAACCTCTTGCTCTGTTGAATACGCTGTTCTCAGGCGTTATCATGATCATGTGACCCAGCTGCATTATTACTTTTCTTGTTTGTAAAGTTAACTATCGTTGTAAATAACTTGTGATGGTTAAAGGAGAACATTTGTGAAAATACAGAATATTATGTTCTGTATATGTTTTGAGTTAGGAAAGCTGCAAATGGTGTTTAAAATCAATCTTTCTGAAATCAGTGTTAGTTCAAGGAACCTGCTGTACTGTACTGACCAGGCCTCCGAACATGTGTTACAGCCAATAAGTGAGGTCAAATATGACAGACTGACAGAAAGTTGTTTCCACAATCTTCTTTCTACCAGACAAAGGAAAACAGGACTTGTTAAAACAAAAATTTGAAAGAATTTTACTCCAGTGAAGCACTTGGTGACCTTGCTTTGTGAGAGGTGCTTTACTAAATAAAAAAATAGTAACTTACTATAATGTACATTAACAACAACATCATCGGTTTTTTAATATTTAAAACGGGTACAATCTTGTCTTTAATCGTAGAGCTGTGTGCAGCCAGTGATTTGTTCAGTCCCTCGCCTTGCTGTCTTTTTCTCGCCCTCTGTTTATGAGACCAAAAATGACACAAAAATTAACAGCTGTGAGATTATTCACTGGGACACCACGTATTCATGGACTACCACAGTGAATGCAGCAACTTATTTCCACCTCAGCGATTACATTATATTGTATTATATATTGTAAATAATCTTGTTCAGTTTACAATATATATATGTATATATATATATATTTATTTACATTTATGTTTGTTAATAATTCCTGTTTATTTAACTATATATTTGTTAATACTACTGTTTAAATTTCTTATATTTTCACGTATCTTTCCCATCTTGCAAGGAGCACCTGTAACATAAATAATTTCCCCTCGGGGATCAATAAAGTATTTCTGATTCTGATTCTGATTCTGATTCTGGCATGAAAACGATTAAAAAAATTGTAAAAAGAAACTTAAGTGAAAAAACTTTTTTCCCGCCCCCATGTCCTCTATCCTCAGGGTGGCTGTGGCTCAGAGATAGAGCAACTGGCCTGGTGCACCAACCACACATCTGGCTTCAGAACACTTGTGTCACAGGTTTTTGACCCTACACATGTGTCAATAAGACTTTACACTTTGCAGGAAGCAACAGAGAAACTATAAACTCTAATAGACGTTTCCTAAACAGCTACATTCAGCTTTCATGGGAGTAAAAGTCTTTAATTGTGTTGATGCACGTCCTGCAGGCCTTCATGGGCAGTTTACACATGTCACTCTGCTGTCTTATAATGATTTCTTTAGTAAGTTCTCAGAATCTGCTGAAAGGAAAATGCTCCTGCTGCTTTAGAAGAAGTGGCTGGTGTCAGTTGGTGCGGTGGGGCGAGCAGGCAGGACAGGATGAATGTCTGGCAGCACTTTGAACACGCTGCCTCGTACAGTAATCTGCTGTTTGAAAGACCACAAATGAACTGCTGTTAGCTTGTATTTGCTTTAGAGTGTTACAGTTATATATATTGTTTGGGCCTCTGGCACAGCCTCAGAGTTCAGTCTTGTAAATATTTAAATCATTTTATTGCAGAGAAGAAAAAGCGATAGAGCTCTACAAGCAAATGAAGATGAAATGCAAAAGTAAGAAACATCTGATTCTGATTAATTTATCAGCTTATTTTCCGTAAATAATGAAAAAAATATGAGTATGTTTTTTTTTTTAAACTCAGTGTGGGTTTATTTGTTCATGTGCTGTTTGTCTGTCAGTACCTGAGCCAGATGTGAGCAGTGACAGCTCTGAGATGGTGAAGGCCATCATTCAGACTGTCCAGAACCAAGACAAGGTCCTCAAAGACCTGTACACACACCTCAGGTAAGAGTCCAACACTCTTTCTCTTTTTGTCTTATTAGTATCTGTTATTAATAATGTGTTCTCCAGTATGAAAGCACACACACATGGTAGACCAACAATACGAACACTGTGCGTTAACATCTGCCCCGTCTCCTCTCGTCCTGACAGTAAGATCCTGATCAGCAAACAGAAGATCATTGACTTGTTTCCACGTATTGAGAAAACCCTGGAGAGCATCAAGGACGCTGACAACACCGTGATGCAGATGCAGATCAAGAGACAAAGAGAGTTCTGGCATTTACTGAAGATTGCCTGTGTAAGTGACACTGCATCACACTCCATACTAGGAAAGAAACTACAGTAAAAAACCTGACAAGATAAAGAGTGCAGAGAGCGTCAGTCTGTGCGTGTCAACGGTCAGATATCACATTTTTCAGGGTCTGTTTGCTCTTTACTGAGGGTGCTAATACTCTGAGTAATCCAGTGTAATTGAATAAAACTATGTTGCACAGTCTGCAGGCTGTGATGAATGATTAGTTTCATTATGGGCTGTTCTGTGGATTATTCTCTTAATCAACTGATTAATCTTTGTCTACAAATTGCCATAAAACAATAAAACGTCTTTCCCAGTTTCTTTGTTCTTCTGACCAACAGTTGAAGGCCTTGTCTACATGTGTACAGATATTTTTAAAACAGATATTTTCCTTTACATTTTCTCCTCTCGTCCACACAGAAACTAAAACAGAGATTTTTGAGGACGCCCTCTAAAGCCTAGTTCAAACCAGTGATACGTGACGAGATGAAACCGTTTTAGGACATTGCAGAGTAAAGTTGCAGCTGTAGTCTGCTACTGCAGATTTTGTGAAAACCATACAAGTTATCAAAATGCCTATTAAGCTCAATAAAGTCTCGTGAACCGTTTAAAGTTTAAATCATTTTTCTGTGTCAAAGTATGGCGGTTTGGTTAAGCCCTAAAGAGGAGTGACTACGGCTCTGTTCACATCAAATTCTCAACAATCTCTCATCACTTTTACTAAAATTATTGCAGTTTTTTGCAATTTTTGTAAAAACGGTTTGATGAGTGTCTGAGAGAAGTCACAGTGCACTACTCCTGATCCTTCTGCATGTTTTTATGTTTTTTCCCCAATGTGTTGGCAACACTGCGAGATGATTAGAGAACTAAGTTTTATGGAAGAAGAAGAAGAATTGAGCTGGATGAATAATGTCTAGTCTTGTGTTGCACAGCAGGCCCCCAAATGACTGCTTTACATTTAAACCTAGTATTGCTGCAACACTTCACGGACAAATAGAGACGTCTGCTGAGCCCAGTGTCGTTGGGTCCAACTCAGCTTCCGCAGTTTGAAGTTCGCCAGCAATGATGACTATGGATCAGGTCTGGTTGAACCAGCAGATGGTGGGACAACTTCAGGAGCTGAATTATTGTAGATGAGGATTGGAAGGAAAACTTGTGCATGTCCAGAGCATCACGTGTATCTTTGAGTGAGCTCCTTTGTCCTGATATCGAAGGAGAATCAGTGGTGATGAGATCTCCAGTAGGCGTTTTAAAAAGGTAACATTAGCCTGTAAACGTCCTTTGTGACGAGGGGAGACTGTTATAGACGGCTAACACTGGCGAGCGTTTGGAGTCGTCTCTGTGTTCTAGTGTGGACGGACATATTTTGTAAAACAAAGGTTGTGTGGACAGATTTTTCTTTCTAAAATGGAGGGGTGAAATGTCTGTTTTCAAAAATCTGTACACATGTAGCCAGGGCCCAAACCCCACAAGATTCAGTTTGTTATCACAGCAGACAAAGTAAAACAGGAATGTGCTGAGTGGAGCTAGAAGTTGTTGATAACTGCAGTTATTGCTTGAATCCAGTTATCAGAATAGTTGCTGGAGAATTTTCTGTCAGTCAGCTATTTATCTAAGCTCCACACTGTCCGTTTTGTGTCTGTCTCTGCAGTTTGTAAGTCAGCTGTGGTACTTTCTGTTCTGCTACCTCCTCCTCCTCAGACTTGGCTCCTCTAACTGACCACAAACACAGACAGCGGGAGGATCAGCTGCCTGCATTCCTTCTTGTAGGAGTAAGATGCCTTGTTTATTATTCCTGCATATCTCAGTATGATCTCCCTCTGTCTCCTCCAGGCTCAGAACTCGTCACGAAACTCGATAGCAGCCAGTCCCGAGTCGTCCAACCTGCTGCAGGTTTCTCAGTGGTCGCAATCAGCGCAGCCTGTCAGCTCCCCACATCCCCTGACCTCCCTGCCTGGGCCAAATGACAGGTGACTGATCCATTGGCTGATTCATTCAGAGCAATCAGGTGACTCATGGTCACTCTGACAACGCCTGTGTGGAAAGTTTTAACCCCATTTTGACCTCTTTCATGTTTAACTGTGTGAAATAACCACAGAATGATCTGATCTCAGTGTAAAAGGAGAAAACTAATAAAAACAAAAACAAAATAATTCAATGTACAAATATTAAGTCAAATATAGTGGAAGCACCTTTAGGCAGAACTAACAACCACTGAGTCTGTGGATACGTTTGTGTCAGGATGTCAGTCTGAGATGTGTGTTGATCAGTGTGAAAAGAAAACCTTAATCATTCAAAGTCTGTTTTTTGTTTTTTGTTCATAAAACACAAGAAGAGTTGAATATTGTATATTATTATTATTATTATTATTATTACTATTATCATTACCTTTTGAATTTTTTTTACAAAACAAACGAAACAGAACTTGTCACTTGTTTGATGTCGTCTGTATGTTGTATAATGTGTTCATGCTGTTATTCAGTGTTTTGTAGGTCAGTGCGTTTTCTCCTTTGGCGTTCCTTTGTAGCCGGTACAATAGAAAACACGCTGTACATGTGATGGAGACGCCGTGTGATGAACTCGTAGCTAACAGGCCCCTGTACTGTGTGTGTGTGTGTGTTTCCTTCAGTGACGCCGCACCACGTCTGCTGCAGGAGAACCAGAAGTACCTCAGTCAGCTGACCAGCCTGATGCAGGAGGCTGCTGATGAACAGGCCAAAAGCATCGTGGTGAGTTCACTTGTTTTTACTTGTCCTGGACGTTTCTAATGCTACGTTGTTCTCATTGCACTCACTTTGGATATGAGGGCAAAGAAAGACATCAAACAGTTTCTCAGAAATCTGTGTCAGCGTTATTCCAGTAAAATCATTTCTAAAGGTAAAATACATTTGCATCAAACACAGTAAAACACAGACAGGTCTTTTAGCTAAATGGACAGAAATGCATAACACAACTATCTCGTCCCAGCCTGATACCAGTGCTCTTTTTCACAGAGTTTTAATTTTATAACTCATCTTTGAGTCATGTGACACCATGACTGGATTAACTGACCGCAGAAACAGAGTTTTTGTAATGCTACGTTCAGTCACATCCCATCTTTGGTAATATCAGTGAGTTGGTGGTGTTTAACAGTCAAATCATTGCAAAGTATGATTTTGATCATTTGACAGTATGTTTTCGAAATGTCTGCACATTTTTAAATGACTAAAAATAACGACTAAAATCAGAGATGATCAAAATCAGCATTAATTATACAGTTAAGATCACGAGCTAGGAAGCAGAAAAGTTCAGTTTCAACTGTCAAAGGCTGGTGAAGTAATGTGCACCACATAGCTTCCTCAAAGATGAGAGTGCTTGTTGGGAAAAAAAATCTAAAAAATACTGCATATATCTGTAGTGTATAATATAGAAGCCAAAAACAGCCGTGCTTGCTTTTTTTTTTTAATGCTGTTATGTTGAGAGTTGTTTGTCTCGTTATCTTGAGATAAGAAAACTTGTTCCTGGTCATAACACGTTAATTTGTGTTGATTCTCGAGAAAACAAAAGGCAGATTTCTCGGGATACCAAGTTAATTTGTTAACTAACATTAACTTGTGTCTCAAGATGACAGGATAATTACGGAGACCTTGATAATGAGTCTCTGGTTCATTTGATCACCTGATTTCAGCCTCAGAGATCACTGTCATCTCCTTGATATGATATTTTCAGCTTAAATCAGTTAGAGTTGTCAAAATGGCGTCTGTGCAGGCTCCTGACCTCTGATAAACACAAGTAATGAGAGCAAACAACCTTTGTTTGCTCGTTATAATGAGTTGATGAGTATGAATGAGTGAATTATGTTGTCATCTTGAAATGAAGCTTGTTTTCTTGATGATGAAAGTATTTCACTCCTGATCTCAAAATAGCAGCATAAAGAATAATAACTGGAGGCCATTTTCAGCTTCTGTACTAAAAAGAAATCTGCATCTTGTGTACAACAATTTGTTTTTTACTAAGAAGTAGCCTTCAGGAATATAAAACGTGTTTTCACACAGACGCTGCAGTTCATTCTAGGAGGTTACTTCAGTTTGATAGACGATAAATGTTTTTGGTTTACAGTCAAATATTTAAAGATATTTTTGTTTCATTCTGATTTATCATCAACTCTTAACATCGTGGTGGTTTTCCTCTTTCAAGGACCAAGACTGGAGCTGGACGAAATACGAAACTTTAACCACAAAATTAAAAAAGAGAAATGCGTAAGGGTTTTGTTGCGTCTTTCCATCCCTGCCTGTGCTCCAAGTAACACTAAAGACTGTGAGCTGCTAACACGAGCAGAGTGGCGTCAGAGAAACTTTGTACAGTTGTACATGGACTCGGGATATTCTCTTTAAAAAATGTCCTCGAAGACGGAGTTCACACATGCTCAGTGATGTCTGTCAACTCCCGTCGTCTCACATGGTGGAAAGTTTGATGAATATTCTTGTTTTTATATGAGAAAACGATAAAGCTGTGTAACTCTACTTTTCTTTTTCCTTTTGCAGCACAATAAACATCATAATTCATTTTTACTGTCAATAGCAGAATTGAGCAAACTGTAGCACCATATCTGAGGTGGATTTATCATATGAAAGGGCGTTGGACACAAACATGGGAACAAGTTCAGCCGTGTGACATACAAGGGAAACACAGGAAGTGGGTGGGGAGGGGGGGTCAAAGAGGAAATTACAATCAAGCAAACAGCACTTTGATACTCCCATGTGTCCCCTCTGTAAAGAGATGGGATGTGTCCAGGCTGCCAGACACTGTCGCAGGATTCACAGATTTACAAACACAGTTTAACTTTTAACGTCACTCATAATCAGTTTGATATATTTTACTATTCACAGACGGGGGTAACAGAGTCTCTGTACATGTTTTTGTTTTTTAAATAAAGTGTTATGTAACATAGGCAGGAGTGTTTTGTCATGATAATGAGACAGACGTGGCTGGCCATCATGTTTATACCTTGTCTATAATGTACATCCGTCTTTTTAATTGTCTGCAAGATACAAAGGGTTTTATTGTCTCATTTATGTGCACATATTGTTTCACTGGATGGTTCATGCTGCGTTCATGTCACACAGAGCTGGAACGATTTCATCCAAGTTTAATGCAGATTTGAAACACATTGCAGAAAATCAGCTCAAGAAAATGCAAATTATTAAGAGTTGAACAGCTGGTGGAGCTAATTCTCCAGGTGGGTGCTATCAAACAACCACAGAAGAAGAGCATGTACCTTCCTGTGTTAATGTGAGGAAGGTCACAGCCTCCTCATCGCTCCACACGTATCTGATGCTTTCAGCTCTTCAGTTTAAGACACACGCCTCATGTATGTCATGATTCATTTGTTGAGTCTCCCTCCATTACTCTTTGTCACATTTTGCTTTATTGAAACACCAATTTTCCCCTCAGCAAAGCAAAAAAAAAAAAAAGGATTTTCAATGTTTCGACTCAGGTTTGTTTGTGCAAATTTAAAAAAGCAAATAAAAAGAGTTTGACAGAAACAAACTTAATCAGTCACTTTGTGATCAAAAGAAAATGAAAATCAAACATGAACAGGATTTGCTGCTTTCTCTCACGTGACAGTAAACTGTGATGCCACATTCACACAGGATGGGGAAGCACAGCAAAGCCTATCTTTCCTGCAAGCTGCGAGTGACTGACGAGAAAACACACTGATTATCTGTTATTAACTGTGGAAAGGAAATATTATATATGATGAGATTGAAATTATAGAGCATGCATCCCATGCTTACTAATTCCATATATTTGTCAGTTCTTCATACACTCACACACAAACGCACTGCAGAGAAATGTGCTTCTGCTGACAGGCGGCTGCACGACCACTTAACATATCGGCCTGCGTCCGCCTCATGTGTGAACCAGGCGACAACCTCCAACCATGAAGCCAGAAGTGCCAAAAACTGCAGTTCCTCTAAAGGCCACTAGAGGCTCAGTCCCCACGTTACAGCAGAGATAAACATGTTTACAACCCGGTACAGAAACAGTTTTGTCTGCTTATGTTGCCCTCGGCCTCACCGTCAGATCCACGCCTCGCTCCTCCTCAGCACCGGCCTGTCGCCCAGTTTTGGTCACTTCTGGGTCCTTAACAAACAAGATGGTGACGGCCACAATGACGAACTAGAGGCTTCAGATCAGCAGTCCACAAACTAATGTGTGACATCACGGAGGCTATGTCCATTATTTTTACAGTCTGTGGTGTGAACATGGCGTAAGAACACCGCTCTGACAAAACAAGCAGTTTTTATTTGCTTCTTGGCTCTGAGAAATTGTAATGAGCACATTTGACTGAAAAAATAATAAATCCATTAATCAAGGAAATAATTAGCACATTATTTAATTAGTCATTCAGCTGTCTTCAGTGATCTGATGTAGTAGTAAGTGGGATTGTAACTCACCAATAGAACAAAATAAATAAATGCCCAAGGTGATATATTCAGATAACATTTATCCAACCATCAGACCAAAACACAAAGATATTCAGCTTACATTTATATAAAACAAAGAAAAGCAGCAAATCATCATGTTTGAGCTGGAAACTGAAAATAATAAATATTTTTTGCTTAAAAACCCTGAAACAATCAATCAGTTAACAAAACTGTCGCTGAGGAATCAACTAATCGATTAATCAACCGATCCTTTCAGCTCTCGTCACAAACACGGGACTCTTTCTGAGTTCTGTCGTCTATCTATGACATGAACGTGGCTTTATTCATGGAGGTGTGACACCATCTGGTTTCTGTAGAACATCGTAGCACAGTCGGCGTCTTGGACCATCGATCCATAGTGAAATCAATGTGGACGATTGGAAACAGGATTTGAAATAGTTGAATGTATTGCAGTGAGCAGGGAGCTTTGGCCAGAGAGGAGTGAACCTTCTGAGTTGTATTTATGAAGTTGAAGTGCAATGGAAAAAGATTTTCTTTTTTTTTTTTTTTTTTTTTTTTGTATTTAAGTAACTTGATTTGTGTCTTCGTTTCTTTCCATGTAAGTATTTTGTTTCCATCTGATGTTTTAAATTTGTCTCTGAATGTTTAATTTCAAGAAATGTCATTGTATAAAGATCAAATGTTTGCCTGGTAATAAAATAAAATGACTTTGGCATGACTCTGCTGTCACTTCACTGTTTGTCACCTGAGCCCAGCTGGTCATAATTGAGTTCATACCTTCATCACGCTTCATCCATTATGGAGTCACATTTTTATTTAGTCCTGTTCTAGGTTTATGGATCGATTCAGCGAAAAGGTTCTCTTTGTGTTTAGTGCTAATTAAAAAATGTTAGAATGCTAACATGCTAGACTAAGATGGTGAAGAAGCTGAACGTTACACCTGCCAAATGTTAGCATGCTAATATTAGCCTTTACTGCAAAGCAGTGCTGCGGCAAAGTAAGTCAGCAAGTCTGTTCTCCAGTATAAGAGTCTCGTATTCTTATAGTGTCCTTTAGTAATCAAACTCCTCGATACTTCTAAACCCTTATCAATAACTGTTCCTGGTTCTTGTAACTTCCCACTACATCCACGTTTAACTTCACACGTAGTATTCAGGCGACGTCCAGTGTTGGACACTACGATGTTGAGGCCTCGACTGAACTCACAAGAATCACCTGCAAATTTGTCTGTTTGTGGTTTAAAACTCATCAGTCACTTTGTTGAGTGAAGGATTTTGATGGCACTTGGCATGAAGTCTGAGCTCAAGAGGTCAAAGTGGTTAAACAGAGGACGGGAGCGATCTGCCCAGATCCTCCTTTTCCTCCTCGTCCTTTCTGTAAAGAGTTGGGTCAAGAGATTTGTGGCTCACCAACTACTTTTCTTGCCATTGTCACGATCTCAGAAAGGATATTCTTGCATGCACAGTTCAGATAATCGCACCAGGCAGAGAGGTGAAAAGTTAAAACACTCTCAACCACAGTTTTGTACACAAATTCTAAAATGTGTTGACTAACACTGAGGCCACAGAGTTCCCACAGATATGAAGCCCTTGGATAAGTCATGACACTGGAGAAACTGTTTTCCAGGCCTGGAGATGGTTTGGAACTGACAGAATGGTTTGGTTATTGTTTGAAATGTGTTTCTAAAAATTCCACATTGGTCTAACATGACAAGAAACACATTCCTAGTATTACTAATTTAAAAACTAGTGCTGTGCTACATGATCGTAGAAATGCTACTGGTGTCATGTGATACACAGACCAGACCGGCATCGTGCAATCGCCAAAGCCACGCACCCTTTTAGGGGGACAGAAGCATATGATGGTATCACGTAAGAAGAGACACAGGAAAAAGGCTTTCACACTGAGATCTGAGGCTCATAAGATCCTGAATATTCACCGGCAGTGTGGCAAATCTCTACATGATGCTGGGGACAGTTTCTTCTGATGGATAGCTAACGTTAGCTTGAGTTGGAAGCTGCTGCTAAAACCTTACAGTGGTTCAGTACAGCAGCATCACATCATCGTCTCCAACTTAATATCCACCTGTAGATCAAACTGTTGGCTGTTATTCACACTCAGCCTAATAATACCTGGTGATTAAACCAGCAGGACACAGCTCATTGTTCTACCTTGACTCGGGAGACTGAGGGGCCATGATCAACCTCCATTTATTAAGGTAAAGGGAACTCTCAGGTTCTGGCAAGGTCGCAAAATAATTAGTAGACATGTCGATAAAACAAATGTTTGTTTAAGAAGCAACAAATGTATACAAACTTGTCATAGTTATCATAACTGACCTATGGCTAAGCCACGCCCCCTCCACTCACTCGGACTAATTATCAACATTCAGTGAGCGGCGCTATGGCAGGTGTCACAGTACACGGCATTTCACAGGAGGCAACTGATGATTTTTGGGGACATAACGATCAGATGTCATTGAGAAGTAACCAAAAGGGCCTAAACTATGCATTGGAGGGATATATTCATCATTTTATTGTTGAGAAGGTCGATGAAAAGCTTAAATTGTAAGCTACTGTTATTACCTGCATCTCTCTCTCTCTCTCTCTGTCTCATTGTGTCATGCGGATTACTGTTAATTTATTATGCTGATCTGTTCTGTACGACATCTATTGCACGTCTGTCCGTCCTGGAAGAGGGATCCCTCCTCAGTTGCTCTTCCTGAGGTTTCTACCGTTTTTTTTCCCCGTTAAAGGGTTTTTTGGGGAGTTTTTCCTGATCAGCTGTGAGGGTCATAAGTACAGAGGGATGTCGTATGCTGTAAAGCCCTGTGAGGCAAATTGTGATTTGTGATATTGGGCTTTATAAATAAAATTGATTGATTGATTGAAATTACAAGCCAGAATTTACAGGTCACAGTGTACGCTTGTGAACCGCATCTGGTTGCCGTCACCATCAAAGACAACAAGTTAAAGTGCCACTGAAGTTAAGGTTTTTGGCTCAGAATATGAGAAAAGGATAACGGCCTTTTTACCATCTTTACCAAGAGTGTTTCTCCGTTAGTTTGGTGCTACAGTATTTACACTGAATCATTCAGCATAACGTTTGCCAACCTTTGTTATCTCTGCCATTACAGATAAGTTAATGAAGCTAAGCTCCAGAAGTTAACGTTAGCTTAACTAGAGCCCTTTGGACAACAGCTAACAATGATGTACGATCACCAAAGTACAAAACTAGAACAAAATAGGCTAATGAACTCCCAGCAAACAAGGTGACATGATGAACAACGCAGCTAGGAGCTAACGTTAGGCTAACTTTAGCTAACGTTAGCTAGAGATGTTAAAGATAACTTTATATTTCTTTCCAGCAAAGTGACAATATGTTGCCTCAAACACAATGTTGACTTACCTTAGAACAGATGTAGACATCATTGTTAATCTTATTCACGTTGAGTTGATGTTGTGGTCTAACGTTACCACACAACTTTATCCAAAGGAGACACTTTTCTCGCTTGAGATGTGGTTTAAAGTGTAAAAAATACACCTGGTCGCCCAGCCTCTCAGGATACCTTGTGTCAGAGTTGCATGTACCCTTTGCAGCTAGTTGGTGGTGGTGATGTCTCACAAGCAATTAAAGTTATTAAGCGCTAGCAGTTTGCGTTTTTGTAAATGTCCGGGAAGGGCTCATTGCACGAGTAAAGTAAACTCTCAGTCAATATAAAAAGCAAGTCTCCTTCAAAAGAAATCCACGGCACATTGTAGGGTTTATTTTACGTGGCAGTGTAGATTAAAAACACCGAGGCGTTGTGACTCACAGGTCTTCATCAGGATCATTGTCTGCTGTGGGAAATGCATGTGTAATAATGTCGGGCTGCATTGCTCTATAGGCCTGTTTCAAACTAAATATGCTGAAAATTTGTTGGTAAAAATTTGTGGGAATCCTGTAACTAAGACTTTGACATGTATCAGAGTACTCCTACACCGTAGTGTTGCTACTTGACTGAAGTGAAAGACCTGAGCACTTCTTCCACTACTGCTGCTCACACAGAACTCTATTTAACTTTACCCTCTAAAAACACATCTAATAAAGAGAGCAGCAACTTTATGTAGTGTGTTAAAAGAGTGCACAAATTAAAGTTCCTGTACCTTGGAAGTGTTTCATCATTTTTTAAAAGACGTCATAATGACTGAGGTCAATGTGATGATGTGATCACACACCTGTCGTCACCTCAAGTGATTTCTCAGATTGTGACACAGTAGAGGACACCTTGGGAGAGGGACCGCGTCAGTTTGTCCTGGGAAAGACAAAAAGGGGAAGCTGGAAACAGTCGAGACAATTTGACTCAACTGTTTAAACATTAACTCAGAAACTCGGCCTTCAAACTGAGTGATTAACAGTGACTCATGGAGATTATCTTTCTTTCTTCCGTCTTGTGACCCGTTTGTGGCTTTTCTGCATCAGTTGACGATGGGCTTTCGGCCAGCCTCGTCCATCTTACAGCATGTGGAAGTCATTTGTCAGGATTGTTGCAAGCATGAAAAGTTATGTTGGGTCACTATGGAGAGTTTTGGGTGGTTTTCTGTTTCGACTCTCTCCTACAGCGGAAGTATTCACAATTTATAAGCTGTCTTCATTGATACTCTGCTGTTATGACGTTTAACATTATTTATCACCTCGTCAGTCACAGCCAGAAACCTTGAAACACGGATCATAAATCACCCTGAGAAGATAAAAGGAAACATTTAAAGACCACACAAAGACATATTGATGTTTTCCTGCTGTGTGTGTTGTTGGAAACTCTTCTTCTTCTCCTGGATTGTTCTGAAACTGGAATAAAAGTCAAACACAGATGGCTGCATGTTTGACTGAACGCCCTGATCCCTGTTGAGGTCGGATGTCGTCATCTCATATCATGGAGCTCAGTAAACAGTTAATCTGAGTGAGCAACAAGCAGAGGCAAAGCTTTGCTGTAGAACAAGCCACATTCTTTGTAAACTTTGTTTTATGAGCTGCGTTGTTGTGAATCAGACGAGCTCTCAGTGAGAAACCAGCCCCCCTTTGCTCGGGACAACATTCCTCAACCTCCTCCTCCTCTCTGCCTCTGATCAGACTTTGCTTCCATTTACAGTTAGATTTAAACATCTGATACTAAATGTTTGGGCAGATTGGTGCGACAGAGTGTTTTTCTTCACATACAGAGAGAAGACGTCTTGAAGGCATCAGATCTCTGACTGTTTCAGCACATTTTTGTGGACGATCTTAAGCTCTGACCTCAGCCCGTCCACCATGATGATGAACTGGACTGTGATCCAGACTTGATCATCCGACATCAGTGTTGGACCGAGCTGTGGGATCAAATCCCTGCAGCCAAGTTTAACATCTGGTGAAGAGACTGAAACCAGCAGAGCGGAGGCCGTCAGGTTCACTGAGCACGTACAGTATGTCATGTCAGAGAAAGTCAGTGACACACACGGTGTCTTTATCAGTGCTTCGTCAACAAGTGTGAGTAAGGTTGGTCACGTAGCTGCTGCGCTACTGGGAATCCAGCTTCTGTCATACACAGGTTGTCTCATATGTCTCTCTGATAGAGTTTGACTGAGACTTGAATAGAGTTAAGACATCTTGAGACATCTTGAGAATTGGCCTTGAGTCAACAGCAGGAAGCAGCACAGAGGCCAGTCACCATCTGTCACTCATTCAGTCTTTATTTCAAACTTGGTGCAAAGAAATTTGGACCAGTGTCAGAGCGCTGCTTGGACAGAGACGGACAGAAGTCGTGGCGGACATGACAAAGAGTCACAGAGATACTGATGGTTGTGCCAGAAAAGGGGTGAAAATAAACCTTTCCACCTGGTTATCATGTTTCCATCACTGTCGATCGGAGCTGGAGCCGATAACACCCGTGACAACTGCAGAGTCATTTGTCCTGGGAATGAATGCAGATGGGCACCTTGCCCAGTAAAGACAAAGGCCGGGGGCTGGTTGCACAAAACACCTTAAGATTGTTTCTTAAGTATGACACTTAAACATGAAATAGCTCACCAGTAACGGACTGGAAAGATGCCTTTGCATAAAACCGCAGAGCCATAAGTGGTTGCAGAAAATGAATGAATGAATGGATGAATGAGGCTTCATCCTCTGGGGAACATTAACGTTTATACGAAACTTTAAGTTTAGTGGAGATATTGCAGTCTACAGTGCCGTCTGTCTAGCCTGGAAATCCTGACCCAAATCTAGACAGATTTAGGGTCTGGCTATGAGTAATGCAAATGGCCCAACTCGAGGGGCGGCACCAAGCATGCATTTGAAAATATCACTGCATGCAATTGGATAACACTACAACCAATCAGAACAATACACGGGGAGACGTATACGCTTAGCTACCAGCGGAGCTAACTGGTAGATTAGACTCTTGCTGTATCCGGTCGGCAAAACAGTAAAAACGTCCTTCTTGCAAAGGAAAGACTCGAGCGCCGTCTTTTGTTCCTCTTTTAGAGAAAAAGCCAAGTCTAACTCGTTCATTGTAGCGGCCTAAGCCGTTTCAAACAACTGGTGTTCATCCGTAGCCATCTTGCCATGTTTACTGACTGATTCTGGACTTCGTCGTCGCAGCGCTGTCGTCATCTGTTTAGCTCGCCTCTGGCCCGCCTATATCAGATACACCGATGTGATTGGTGCAGCTCTTCTCCAACGGCATGGGTAATGAGCATCATTACTGATTGCCAGAGTGACTCGCTGAGCAAATTCAAATTGTGCTCTCACGAGAACTCTGGATTTCCAGGGTAATGTCTGTGTACAAACTAAACTCAAACCATATTTCTGTTGTTTCTGTTCTACATTTTTTTTGTTACTCAACATCTGCAGTGAGTTTATTGAATTTACTGAAAGTTCTTGGTTCTTTTCCCACTAGATCCGAGTCCGGAAACAAACAAACCCTCAGCGTAAGAAGGAAACCCAGCTATTGATGATGATCATGATGATGATGATGGGAGCTCACCGTGTGACTCACTGCTGCCTCTCAGACACGTTTCCTTACGCTCCTCACCAGAGAGCAATAAGTATGAATGAGCTGTTAACTGATGTTTTTCCTGGGGAGAACAATGGCACACTTCTCTGTAGGTTCATAAAGATGTTACACAAGACGAGACAAACACAACAACAGACCTCACTGAGAAAAGTGTTTAATCATTATTTAATACCCATAATAAACCTCTGAGGAAACACAGCGGATACTTTTTTAAATAAAGTGCACTTCATCTGTTGACACAAAGGCATCTCAGGAGTTCATTCAGTTTTTACATTCAATAACGTGACAGATTGAAACCATTGCGATCGCACAAACTGAGATTTTACGACTGATCAGTGATGGTGCCTCTGATTTATAATTTAACAAACAAGGTAGAAACCCTGTGACTGCTGACATGGAAAGATTAAAGTGACTTGTTCCTTGAGGCTCGGTCACACACCTCCCTCAGGACTGGAGACAGACAAAGGAGTGTGTAAATGTTTGAAGCTGAACCACAGTAACTCACACAGCTCATCTGAACACTGTGTGTACCATTCAGAGGTTTTCAAGTACAGTGCAAAATGAAGGCAGACTGGCTTTGGTCACAGTTTAGGGACTGTACAGAAATTATTAGAGAGAGACGGCTTTGACAAAAACTGCTGCGACCTCCTGCCTAAAAACTTTAAGCAGCTACGATTGTTATTTTTATAATAATAGCAGTGTTTGAGATGACGAGGTGGAAGGATAGATAATTATCAGCTGAATCTGCAGCTCCACTTTAGATCAAGTTTTAGCTCATTGTTCATCTGCTTGACTACTTCACTGCTCTGCTTCACTCTCACGGCTCTCACAGCATCGTTTACAGGAAAAACTAAGATGTAAAAAGCCACAGTGCTCGACCTGCTCAGCACCAGACAGCCAACAGACTAACAAGTATAATATTTCTGAGATTAGAAAAATGTAAAAACACCTCCTCAAAGAGGTGCACCATGAAACTAATTCAACAGAGTCAAGCTTTCTTTGCATTAGCTGGCGCGACAAACCCCGATGCCCCTGTCAGAGGTAACAGGCAACATGACGGTGGTTATCAACTTCTTCACTTAACTTCTTCTTTTGGCTCTGTATTGTCTCATAAGACAGGACGTTTGGTGCATACCATAAAACATCAATCAATAGCCCGGGCTATTATTTGCTTAAATCAACAGGCCTATATTTATATTCACACAAAACGAATCAAATTGTTTGTTTAAACCAGTTTGAATATTACTTGTTAAAAAATTAGGCTTCCAATAATATGTCAATTATGAATCATTTATTTGATGTGGCTCCGACAGCAGACAGCCCGTCGGAGAGAAGCTGTGAGTCACGGCATTTGAGGGTTACGTTGCCCGGCACACCGACACAACAGCACTTTATCGTGTTAAAACCATCCTCACAACTTGGATTAGTTTTCATGAAAAACACTTTTGATTCTTTTGATCTGAGGACCCATGCAGACTAATGGAATATGAGTAACTCAAGGAGTCGACACATAATGGAGACGGGCCTCTAATGGAGACGGGCCTTTATATGTCAGAATGTGTGGCTACACTGGGCTAGAAAAAGGGACTGTGCATTTAATTGGGACGAGGCTATTACTTGAAGTTTTACAGTATTCTGACCACACTATAACGCAACATGAACCTATCGTGAACCATGTACGTTTGCCTATGAAGAATATGACAAAACAGCGAGAAGCGACTCTGTCACTGCAAGTAAGGTGAGAAACGAATGCTGGCAGGAAATGACGAATTATGTAAAATTCTACGTTAATGCGTTCATGTCACTGCTCTGTTTATTTCTAAGGTGACAGCTGCACGTTCAACAGCTCTTAAACGTTAAACTTTACACAGCAGATTTAAACCTTTAACTCAAGAACTGCATTAAGGGACTGACGCTGTCTCACACTGAAGGAGACGTGGAAATCACTTTAGCTTTTGGCCAAATCAAAGGGAACTGAATTATACTGATTGAATATCATCTGTGATCAATACCATCAGACTAATATAATCAATGTTCTAGTTCAGGTTCTGTTAGCTGTGATGTACCAGCAGTGTGAAACCGACTTCAGCAAATCAGGACCGGGCATAAAAACATAACCCAACGTGGTCGTGTTATCGAATGGTTTGAAGGAACTGAACACAAATAAACTCATCCTGATCGATAACATAGTGAACGATCAATGTGTAACTCTGCCTGTGACTTTATAAAAGGCTCCTTGTGCTTCCTGAGTTGGCGAGCGGACCAGAGAACATGACAGACACACTCAGTATTCAATCAGAGCAACAAATAAAATAAAACAACATTCTTGTTCAGATGTTCTGCATCACAACCTGCGTGCACGTTTGTTCCCATGGCAACTGGATGCAGACAGTTTGCTGAACTGTCGCCTGTTTGCATGGCTTTAACATAACGTTACGACTCAACAGGTTTGAATTTATAACGTTTTCCCTCAGCTGAGAATCTCAAGACTGGCTGGTGACTGTCGAGTGACGTCATTTCCAAAGGAGCTGATTAGTGAAAGATGCTTGTTTGTCCAATGAAGCCCAAACTCTGAACATAAACTGGTCCCGACCAGGTTAGGTGTGCAGCGTATGTTACCATGACGATCTAACCCGGTTTTAAGAGAGTCACCTTTGTAACATGGAAAACTCTGCTGTTGAAATCTGGTTCTGTGGTGCAGCCCTCATATCCTCCAAAAACTACCCCCCCATCAAGGAATAATACATCACACTATAATAATTTTCATACAGTCCCTTAAAAAGACATTAAATAAATATTAAGTACATTTTCATGTGAGCACCACTTTGGTCACGCTGTAATGAGACAAGTTAAACGAACACACAACAACTGCAGCTGCAGTTACAGCAGTTTGCCCCAAAATCAGTTTTCCACAGCAGCTGTGATGCTGTCGGTCATCAAAGACATTCTCAGCCGGTGAAGCTGCGCTCACTGAAGCCATCTTTAAGACAAGAGTAAAGTTTTCCAAAGTCTTCCATCTCTGTGACTCACACACGTGATCCCAGAGAGGATCTCACTCTCTCTGTAACTCCACGCTGGACGTCTGAAGCTTTGGTTCAACCTGATACTTCTGATGAGATTTTCATGTGAGTCGCACAATGTGTGGCTTCACTGGGGGCACAGGAGGAGGACTGGGCTTGACTGGAGGTACAGGAGGAGGACTGGGTTTGACTCGGGGTACAGTGGGAGGACTGGGCTTGACTGGAGGTACAGGAGGAGGATTTGGTTTGACTGCCGTATACTGAAAAACAAAACAAGATCAATTTTAGACAGATTTATTATAAATGTGAAGTTGCTGCATCTGCACAAAAAACTGTTCGTTTTGTTGGGATTTAATTTGGTCCCAAAAAGAGAATCGCAGTGTAACCTTCCTATGACAGATATTTGGCTGCGACTTTAAAGGGGAACTAATGTTGTTTTCAACCTGGGCCCTATGTTCAGATCTGCTTTTGTCTAAATGAGTGATAGGATGTTCAATATGTGACATGTCTCCAGTATGAAGCTAGGGCTGACCTGCCTGCAGCCCGTGAGCGCGCGCTATATTAAATAATAGGGCACTCAGACAGCGTCAAACAACGTCAAAATACGTCCACTAAAAGTGCATTTTTTCACACAGATAGGTTCGGATTGTTAGTATAATTATCTGACAACATAACGGAAAGGAGAAATGAACGTGTGTGTTTACCTTTAGCTGGATTCAGACATGTTCCTCTGCCTCAATGACCCGATTTTGACCAACTGGATCTGGATGAGCCATTCGAATTTGATGAGCGCCCGTGTATTTGAACACGGAGTACACGGACGTACACGGACGCAGAGCTCATTGAAACTGAAGAGCGGACGAGGAGAGAGAGGGAGCAGCAACAGGCAGAGGAACATGTCTGAATCCAGCTAAAGGTAAACACACACGTTCATTTCTCCTTTCCGTTATGTTGTCAGATAATTATACTAACAATCCGAACCTATCTGTGTGAAAAAAATGCACTTTTAGTGGACGTATTTTGACGTTGTTTGACGCTGTCTGAGTGCCCTATTATTTAATATAGCGTGTGCTCACGGGCTGCAGGCAGGTCAGCCCTAGCTTCATACTGGAGACATGTCACATATTGAACATCCTATCACTCATTTAGACAAAAGCAGATCTGAACATAGGGCCCAGGTTGAAAACAACATTAGTTCCCCTTTAAGGCAAGAAACTCTGGTTACAGCAGCACAACAAACACAAAGAAGACCTCACATCAGAGAAGCTGGTGCCAACAAATCTAAAATCAGTTATTAGAGTTGTTGGTTGAAGATCAGCTTCAGGACTGTTGAAGTGAAGTGAGGGCAGCTGCAGGTGTGACTCACCTGTGTGTTACTCAGCGAAGGTAAAGGTTTAGATGGAGGTAGAGGTTTTGTCTGTGGAAGACAAGAACACATTTGTTTTATTCATCACTTTAAATTCTCAAAGTTAACAGACTAAACAGATCTGACGTGGAGTTACATCTGGTGATATTCTATATTTTCTTTGTGTCATTAAATCCCATAAAAAGAGCCAAACCAACACAGGACATCAGATGTTATCTTCTTCCTGTGTGTCACAGAGCTCCATTGTTTTTCAAAAGCTATTCATCAGTGAGACACACTGTTCAGACACAGTCACACTGAGTGACGTGTCCCTTAATGACCATAAACACTGTACACTGTAGTTTATTATGACTCAATCCCACATACACCCAGGCCCACCATCGGGGGGGGGGGGTCCAAAGAGTACAGGTGACCCAGCCCAAGGCCAAGGGGGGCCCCAGAAAAGGTCAATCAAGTCGCACATTGAGTAACGCAGACTCATGTTAGCGGATAACACCTGCTGTATTGGAAAACACAGGTATCATATTCATGTAGAGGACCTGAAGCATCCAGTGGGATCAGCCATGTTGAAAAGGGGCCAAATAACGCTCCAAAGTCAAGCTACATTTTATTTTGGCGAGGGAACAAGGAACACTGCCTTTTTCAAAATGGTGTGTTTGAAATGTTTCTGCACACTGAGCTCTCTGAGCAGTCTTGTATTGCATACATTGGATATAAGTGTAAAACTGTGAGTTGACAAACATAAACTCTTCACACAGTCTGACCTGTGTTAATCACAGTAGCTTCAAGAATGAATCAGAAAATGAAGACAAATATTTGTTCACTCATGATTTGATCTGATGATTTAATGCCTTTCAGTCAACGTTTGATTTTAGTTTTTTCAGTCATTCAGCAGAGGTGTCACACGTGTCGGCCCAGGACACACACGTGACACCTCTGCTGTTCAGTTTAAGAGAATAATGTCTCAACACAGAGACAATACAAAGTACACGTGGAAATATAATTAATAGTATTATATTCGCAGGAAGTATAAAGTGATGTTTATGTCCTGTTTATATCCCCAACATCGAACATCTTGTCCCCCGCGCCCATATGTCCCAACGGCTGTTCTGCACACATCGTGCTGCCACCACAAATACTCACTTCAGCACCAAATGTGGATTAATCCGCGCTTAAAAATAGTCCCCAACAAATGTGCTGTTTCCTCCTGTTTGTTTGATAAAAAATGCAGCGTCCAGCTGTTTTAGAAAGTTCTTACAATTACTGACTCTTTTTTAAGAATGAAACCATGCAGTATATTTCTGATGTGTTTGTAAATCAAATGTTCAGTAGGACCCAACGAGCCACAGGGAGGTCTGAGAGGCGCACAAACACACTGACTTCATTCACTTCCTTTTGCCCTTATTCCATAAAAAATACACTGAGCTGATTACGTGACTAATGAAAATGAATATTTCACTAACATTCTGGTTTACATGCAGCTGAGCATACTGTGATTAACATTCAGTTTACAGCCAGCGGCAGACGAGTTTGAGCGTGCCTCCTTTTTTCATTCCTTTAATTACTCTCTTGCAAAGGTCAGCCCTGTGATATGTGCACGTGGCCTAATACCTGCTGATATCCAAGGCTTTCATATATAAAGGCAGGTGTGACTCACAGATGTGGGCTTTACTTGTGGGCATGCATCTCTCCCTCAGCCGTGCAAACTGTTGGCTGGTTGGTTTGTGTGCAACACATCCATGACAGAACAGGGACGAGGCTGTGTCCAAAGAATGCTCCGAAAACCTGATTAACATCTGCGTGTATCACACATGTCTTAATCTGGATTATCCAAATGGAATATGCTGTTTACGTGTTTGAATAATAGTGTAGTATTAGTTTGCATGTGAACACACTCAGTGTTGGTTCTGGTCGTTTCATGGGGCCTATACACCGTTGAGCAGTGTCACGCCACACGTCTGGACACAGATAACTTTCTCCATGTATTATTAAATTTTTCGAACTTTAGCAGCCAGCTCTGAATGTGATCCTCAGTTTGCATTATGCATCAGATCATATTGCAAGTTTCTCTTTTCTTTGTAGCTTACCGGCTCAGTTTGTGAGGTCACACACTCTGAGGAGAGTTTCTTTGGTGGCTGGAAGAGAAAGAAAAGAAGTATCAAAGTACTTTGACATTATAAAGCGTCCGTCTGTAACCTGCCCACACACGAGTTCATCCCTGAGCATGAATTTCCATGAGTAATTGCTTCAGTCTCGGTGCTGTCTGTACCTGTGGAGCAGCTCTGCAGGGACTCACACGAACCATCAGAGGAGTGCAGGCTTGTGTTGCTGTTGACTCCATGAAAGTGGGCTGACTGATCTGAGGTCTGTCTTTAACACTCGACTCCTGGAACATCGGGTTCAGCTTGTCGGGGGCTGAATGCACTTTCCTGTGAACATGACATGTTTTCAGCTGAGGAAGTAGAGAACAAAGACACAGACGCAGACAGAGCCGGACATGAGACACAGGAGAGTTGATCCAAGTACCTTTTGGAGATGTAGTTGTCCATGTTGTCCTTTCTGCAGCACATCAGCCCTGCAGTCACCGCAGTGATCACCACCAGGATGGAGATAGTTGCACACACACCGGCTATTATCCCAATCTGACCTGCATGTGTGGACATGGAAGTGACACTGTTACAGCTGCACATTGTTATAACATCATATCTGTTGTTATAATCTGTTCTGTACGTGGCGAGACGATTGAACGATTGGATGCGCTCCTTTGGTCCACACTGAAATATCTTTATATGATGTTCATGTCCTGCAGAGGATGAACTGTAGTAACTCTGGTGACCCTTTGACGTCTTATTTAGCATCATCATCGCTTCAAAATGAAATCTGTCTAGTTTGGTTTATGACTAAATATCTGACATGTAACTCCTGACATTCCCACTGTGCTGTTCAGTGCTCATTAGCAGGTCTTAGATGTTAAACATTAACATGCTAAACATCAGCCGTTAGCATTTAGCTCTCAGCTACACTGTGACAGAAATGGTCTCATTAAACAAGACAAATGTTCCAGAGTCTCTGAATGCACTGACCGCATGAGTTATTCTTTCATACTGTTACAACAACACACCGACTGATAACAATGAGACGTGTTTCTTGTTTTAACAAGAGGCTGATTTGTGTAATAACAGGAAGTCTTTGAGACATGAAGATCATTTTGTTAAAATAAGAAATGTTTCTCATTTAGAACTAAATCATATTAATAAAGTGAGACGATCAATGGCAAACAATAAAAGGGTTGAACTGTACAATGACAAAGCTCGGTGACGAAAACAAGAAGAAAGCTGTTCTTCAGAAAAGGGTAGTGTAATATCCAGTCAGCAGTTGTATTATTAGATGTTTTCAGACTGGAGGAACTTCATCATGGTTCTGAAACCCCCTTTTATTGTGTCCAAACCACAAGAACTAGGAACAACCATAGTTACTACAATGCAGTTTTGAGGGACAACTTTAGCAGCTCCCATTTCAGAGTCCGTGCTGGGGTTGAGCCCAATACTCGGATGAAACAAGTGTCCGGTACAGACGAAGTACTTTTAACAAATACAAGTAAAGTAAAGTAAGTGTAAATTGAAGAAAAGTAAGTGTAAAGTAACCTAGGGAGCATCAGGCGGGATTTCAACGTTGAATTCTAGTTGAAAACACAGTGATTTTTGGTCTGAACGTCTAAAACCTCTTTTCATCTTTTCAAGCAGCTAAAATGCGCTCGCAGCATCAAGTTGCACATTAAAGAGAGACGATACTGATACGTGTGCAGGTGTTTCTCTAAAGTCATGTTGCACTGGTGGCTGAAATGTGGTTTACACAAAGACATGATTTCAACACATTTAATGTTTAATATAAAATGTCATAAATATATATATATAAGCTACACGTGTGCAGTCTGTGTGCTGCCAACAAGAAGCTTACAGATCTGTACATTCTGCATGATTCCTGCTGTAAAGCACATGTGCAACTACTTTGCTGTTACAGTTCAATCAAAGTCTTTAAACAGTCAGTCAAAAAAACTTTTATGTTTGAACGATTTTTAAACGTCTTTTCAAAGGAAATTTTCAGTTTCAGTTTTCAGATGTGATCAAAAATGATCTGAATCTTAATTCTGGAATTGTTCTGTAAATAATTTTCCAATGAATAATAAATATAAAAGTTGTTATATATAGTAACAGCTTCTGATTAGGCCCCGCCTGCTTTTGATTTAAACCACACCCACTTTTAGTCCTCCGCCCATTCCGAGTATAAATACGGATACAGATAATTTAGTTGGTGGAACAGATACAGACACAGATAATGGTGTACTCGCTCATCCCTAATGCGTACTCTGCAGCACAAAAGGAACCATGGCTGACGTTAAGTGTACGCTGACTGGTCGAACATTGGAGCCAGTGCACCGCAACAAACAACAGCCAAAACAAAACCTAAAGCTTTGGTCCGACAATGAAGTCCAGGCGCCACTGAGCATATACGTATGCGACGGTGGAAATTCAACATGATTTTTGTGATTTTTGCGTCAGCACTCAGACTGTGCCACGTGACATTTGTCGCCACCCTGGCTCTGTTCTAGCTCAGCTTTGTTCACCTCCACCCTGTTTTCAGACCAACAGCAAAGAGTTACAGAGCACAGCTGGACATGAACTATGTTGTCCACCTGCCTCTGTGTCTGGTGGATTCCAGTATCTGCCGCCTGTCAGTGGGTTACTGTTGATCACTGGCTGATGAGTGAAGTAAGTCTCGCAGCCACTTACAGATTCTACCTGCATCTGGCTGGCAACAGTTTGCTGTTACTTGGGCTCGCTCAGGGCTCAGTGGGCTCCCTGAAGGTTGTTGTCACTCATAGTGTAGTTGGCTCCATCAGCCAGAGTTTGTTCACTCGCTTCCTCATTTATCTGTGTTTTTAGCCGATTACTTTGAAGACTAAATTATTGCACAATCACTGAGCAAGCTTTGACCGTAACAACAGGGCGGTGCATGAATGAAACAGCACTTCTGCGCTTCACTTTGCTCCTCTTGAAGTCACTGAGCTCTTTAGTTCTGGTTAGATACAGCAGATGTTAACACAAGCTTTAGAGAGTTTCACTTTTCTTCTACAACATAAAATATGTTAGTAAACGCACTGTTTGTAAAACTTGAAGCTTTTGTGTTGTATAAAAGGCTGTTGCTAATAAGCTAACATTAAGCTATAAACCAGGGGTGTCAAACATACGGCCCGGGGACCAGAACCGGCCCACCAAAGGGTCCAATCCGGCCCACTGGATGACTTTGCACACCTAATGTTGATGCACTAGTGAAGGCTGATTTCAGAACACGATCACGGCGACCACGGCTTTACAGATCCATTGTGGTGGCAGTGTTGAAGTCATGTGACTGTGGTGTAGTTTGTTCATAGCAGATGTGTCAAAGTCATTTTAGCACACAGGCCACATACAGTGCAGTCTGATGGCAGGTGGGGCTGACCAGTGAAACCATTGCACAATATCCTATAAATGACAACATAATGTTGGAAGAAGTAGAATTTAAAAACACTGAACTGCAGTTCAGATGACAAACAGCCTGTGATGTCTCCAGAAGACTAAATGCATTTTTTCCACAGTCTGCTGCTCACTGTCATTACATGTGCATGTTTCTACACATTTCCTCTCCTGTGTCATAATCCCAACATCACCACACCAAACTACAGAGAGAGAAAAGACCTGTGTTGTGGTCGAGGGTGAAAAAGCCTCTGAGGCAGCGTTTGACATGAAGAAAGCAACTCATTGTTTAACTCGCCCTCTTCCACCTCTCAGCCTTCACAAGTGCAAAGTCATCCAGTGGGCCGGTTCTGGCCCCTGGGCCGTATGTTTGACACCCCTGGTTTATAGTCTAACGTTAGCTTTTTACTTCTGGCAATTGCATTTACATTAAACAAAAAGAATCATAAAAGTTGTGTTTATGTGTGAAGATTATGTTGCTGAACAAAACCTGTGAGGATCATAAACCTGAGTTCACCACACAGTTTATTTTCTGCAATAATCCAGAATACAATAGAAGAATGCTGTTGGCCTGTTGATGAGGGAACCAGGGCGATGCTAACAACAACATCCCTGCAGCTCTCTCTGCTCCTTGTGCAAAAAAGACAACGACTCATATTCTGTTGTTTTACTATATAATGAGGAAAACTGTGTGTGTGTGTGTGTGTGTGTGTGTGTGTCTGTGTGTGTGTTCCACGTTTTTCTCCTCACTGACTTGGTCAATCCATGTGAAATTTGGCACAGTGGTAGAGGGTCATGGGAGAATGTGAATGAAGCAATATTACATCAATTGGCCAAAGGGGGGCGCTATAGCAACCCATTGAAATGTCAAACTTTGAATGGGCATATCTCATGCCCCGTATGTGGTAGAGACATGAAACTTTGCACAGAGATGCCTCTCCTCATGAGGAACACATTTGCCTCAAGAACCCATAACTTCCGCTTATATAGATTTTCCGCCATTTTGAATTTTTTGAAAAACACTTCAAATGGATCTCTTCCTAGGAAGTTTGAGCGATCTGCATGAAACTGGGTGAACATAATCTAGGGACCAATATCTAAAGTTCCCTCTTGGCAAAAGTTGGAAAACTTACTAAAACTGAGCTTCTATAAGGCAATGAATATTGCGGAGGGCGTGGCTCATCACATAAAGGTGTATAACATCTCAAGGGTTTCACCCATCACCACGCAACTTTGTAGGCATATGACCACACATAATCTGAGGGGACCCCTCCATTATTGACCCCATCAAACAAAATGGGGGCGCTAGAGAGCTCATTTCTTATCTAGGCCTAACCGCCATATGGATTTTTACTAAACTTGGTAGATATGTAGAACAGGACGCCTCAAGGTGACTGGAGAAATTTAACTCTAATTGGCAACTGGGTGGCGCTATAACAACAGAAAAATGCTTCAAAATGGCTAAAATGCGACCGATCGCTGTGGCTCCCCCTGTGGACCAATGTTGGTGTTGTTTCTAATGTTTGGTATGACTAAGTCATGGTATGGTATGCTGTACATAATCACGTAAACTGTCAGTGTGTCATTCTGTCAGTCAGTCATTCTGTCTGTCCCACGTTTTTCAAACACTGTCTGAATACATTGCTCTTCTTAATGGCTTCAGTTGACTATTTAATCTGCAATTTTCTTATGACCTGTATCCCAAACACACACCATGTGAAACTGTACGTGGGCACCTGTGCACTCAATGGGTACGGACTAGTTTTTCTAAGTTGATGAAACAAGACAGGGCAGCGCAGCTTCAGCAGGAACTAAGTTTTTAACTGAGGTCAAAAACTCTTGATGAGGTCGGTGCTGGAAGAAAAACGATCACTCATAGTGAATCATTCATGTTTCCTCCTCACTGCTGGAGTGATACATGGAGCAGGTGTGACCTGTTTTTGTCTGCGCTGCTCTCTGAAGGCCACTGACCTTCAGCTTCATCAGATATATAACATTTTGTGTTTAGCAACCACACAAACACATTTACTGTGACAAGTGTCCCGTACCTTGAGGTAAGTCTGCATACTGGATGTCGCAGTACGGTGGAGCCCAGCCAGGATTACAGTGGCACTCGTTCTTGTGATTACACACCTGAAGATAAAATGCAGAACATTTATCTAAACATGAGTCAGGCACTTGGACTTCGGTCCAGAGGAGTCAAATTGAAAACAGCTGTTGGTGATGTCATACCCTAAAATAACTCACTCACCCCATTGTTGTTGCATTTCTTCTCACAATCCTCCTTCTTCCCATAAACAGACATGTCCACACATCTGTTGCCGAGACAAATCTGCACACAAATGTTAGATTGTGAGCAAAATATCCACCATAACTGACACAGCTCCACGTCATGTGTCTCCCTGCTGCAGCTTTTACCTTATTTGGTCCACATTTGGTTCCGTTTGGCACCATGTCCATGTTTCTGGTCTTGTCGTCCTCCACAACTAGTTTACACTCGATCTTGTACACGGTGTAGGATGCCCCTTTACCTGTGATGGACTCGCCGCCTCCTCCACAAAATATAGATCCACACATAAGGTTCCTAAAGACACAGAACAAAGTGATGAAAACAGCCTCAAACATACAACTCTTGATGTGTGTTTTGACACTGATTTGTTTTGTGTGCCAGGTTTCCTTCAGGTGCATTTTGTGATCAGTTTTTTGAGCCTGGTCTTCAGCAGGAAGTTCAGTGTAACGGTTGATACGTACTGGGCAGAGCAGGGGGTGTAGCCAAATTTGGTCCTCCCACAGTTGGCACCTTCTTCGCCCCGTTTGTTCAGGTTAAAACACAGATCTGGTCCAACTATGGCCCCTGAGGAAACAAATATAGACAGGTTTTCATTTAATGACGATCTCTCACCAGATGATTTTAATTAAATCTGTCAAATTATAATTCTGGCAAAAAGTCAAAGTTAACATATTATCTCAATATCTGTATTTTGAATTATTCTTTACATCATTACAAACTCTGCTGTGCAGCCATTTGAAATCACTTTCGTGGAAATCCTAAAGTTTCCAAAGATAACTGATGTGAACGCTGAATTTTGGGGGAAATTATGTACAAGACACTAAGAACATCTCAAGTGGTGTTAACAGGGGTGCAGTGCTGCTGGGGCGCACCAGAACATTGATCTGTCACTTTTTTTTTCTCCAAGTGAGGAAATGAAATATTCTCAGCTTGCATGACACGGCTCTGATACTTTCGAAGATCCAATATTCATGAAAGCATATGTGATGCAAGAGAGACAATAAAAACAAAGAGAGTAGTTAAAGTTGTGACACTGACATTTAAGGTGTCAACTTATGATCTGTTTTTTTTTAGATTATTTTTTGGGCTTTTTGCCTTTAATCGACAGGACAGTGTGGAATGGAGAGAGAGAGAGAGAGAGTGGGGGGGATGACATGCAGCAAAGGTTGCAAGCTGGAATCGAACCTGCTACCGCTGCAGTGAGGCATTGCCTCTGTACATGGGGCGCCGGCACTATCCACTATGCTACCGACGCCCCAAAACAAGCCACAACTTAACTGTGTGCACGTCTACAACAAACACAACCGGACACCCCGATCAGTATATTTGGCTTTGCCAACAGCGATCCATTAAACTATGACCGTACTGCCTCAACACCAGCACTAATGCTCGGCTTGGAATCATTAGTGCTGGTGTCAGACACTGTGCCAGAAGAAGATTTTAGGGGTTCAGGCACAAAAGACGGAGTGTTGCATGATGTTGGGATGTCATTAAAATTGGACGTAGTAAAATGGACTTTGATTTTTAACGACTCAATTCTTTTTTGGACGCAGAGACTCCTATTTTCTGTGAGGGTGCTATTCATTCAAATCTCTGTGATCCTCTGTGTCCTACAAACACAAACAACTGAAGCAAAGTTTCTTAGAAAAAGCCGTTTCCACCATGTGACGGTGAAATTTACTGAGACGACTAGAAACAGACTAATTATCACAGCCCCTTCAGGCTCAGCTTGTCTATTCAGAAAACAAGGAAAACAGTGGAACCCCTGTTTTTAGTTTTTTATCCCGGCAACAGTGTGTTGAGAGTACCTTGTCCAAACAGCCTCCAGCAGTGCTGCTCATGAGACGGGCATTGTCCATTGTGGCAGTAGCCCTGCACCCGGTCGTAGCAGGGCTTGCCATTCATCTCAAAGCTGTCTTCGGGACAATCCTCTGACGCTCCGGTGCAGTATTCAGGCAGGTCACAGTCACCTGCTGACTTTCTGCACACACTTCCAGCCAGTTGGAGCTGTGGGTTAAAGTGCATTTTAGGTGACTGAGGAAGAATTAGTTCAAGCAGAAGTTGGTTCAGCTGTGTACATAATTAGCTGTGTATTTGTGCTGCATTGCATGACTTGCACCACCTCTACATTTGAGGAAGGATGTGGTGAGTTACAGTACATGGAAACAGCAGGATATCACCCTCTGTTTCCTGTTGTTAGAAGAACTGCTGCTGTTTTAATGTGGTTTGAAGAATAACCTCCTCCTGTGGCCATTATAATGCAACAGTTATTAACAGGGTGTGTCTGTGCCAGTGGCCTTGCTGTAGCCTGCACACACTGTGGTGAAAGGGTAGGGACATTTCAGCCATACTAGCAGAAACTGGATTGTCATGAAATTTGGTTCAGACATTTGTGTTCCAAGAGGGTGAGTTCTACAGACTTTGGTAATGCTCTGATTCCTCCAAAAGTGACAACAGCAGGCCAAAGTTCTCTAAGTTATTGCAGCCAGGTCTTAGTGTCTGTAGCGTCTCTATGGCCCTGTCTACACCTGGTATTAACATGCATGTTGGATGACCCAATCCAAGTGGACAGCGTTAAATACAAATGTAAACAACCACCAAGACACGTTGTAATCCGATCTGACCACATATCTTTTGCAGTGTAAACACTATGTGTCCTGATGCATCACCAATAAGGACTCCATCATCAGTGCAGGATGTGGTGGTTGCCTTGGTGACACCATGCTAACACTCTATCATGAACCCATTTGTCCAACCTTTGGCCCGATGGAAGGAGATGTGTTGAATTCTGCCGACAGCGATATCTCCAGCTGTGCTGACACCATGTTAATACCAGGTCTAAACGAGGCCTTTGAGATGCTCCGGGCTTTTCACTGACTCCAACATAAACCCGTCCATGTCATCACTCGACGGTCAGAGCAATGGACGTAGTATAAACAATGAGAACGCCCACTTCAGGTGGATGGGTCCGGAAAGCACAGGACTTTGACCCAGGAGACCTGCTTGAAACTAAAAGTCAACGTTTAGTTTTCTTGTCACATCAGTCGTTAGTCAAGTGAGTCATCAGTGACTCGTTAGTAAAGGTGGGTACAAAACTACCAAATTACGTCCGTATGACTGAGAACCAATTCATGCTAAATCCATCGGTGCCGAATTTCAGTACCTGAGAGCACATCTGGGTGAGAACAGCTGGTTTAAACAAGAGGCAAAGTGCCACAAAGTGCCCTGAAGCTTAGAAGCCAGGCACAGAGCTGTGATTGAATGTTTGTCATTACAGAGAGAGTAAAGTACCAAATAAAGTTCCCTTGGGTGCCAAATTCCAGGTACAGGAACTGGTACCAGTATTGGACCCAATGCTGCTGCCAGCTGCTGCTCAAGCGTCAAAATATGACGAGTAGGGATGAGATCACGCTGCTTATCCAGTGTGAAATATCTCAAGTCTTTACGGGATGGATTAGCACAAACTTTTGTTCAGATGTTCATGAATGAATGAATGAATGAATGAATGAACTTCCTTTGATGTTCACATGTGTAGTTCTGAGTGAAACATGTTAACCAATATCAGGTGGATTCATCCTCTGGATGATCTGTAATAACTTCATTTATGCCCAGACTTTTTCAACATTTTTAATATGTCCAAGACATTAATGACAAATTGTCTCCTCTTTAGTACTAATTAGCAAATATTAGCTTGCTAACAGGCTAAACTAAGGTGGTGAACATGTGTCACATGTTAGCATATCATATGAGGATGTTAGCATGCTGACGTTAGTGTTTAGCTCAAACCAGCTGTGCAGCGTCACAGAGAAGCCAGTGTCATTAGTCTTGTTAAATCACAGGTTTGGGACCTTCAGGGGAAAATTCATACAGCAAACAGGATCTTACTCAGTTTTTAGCCGACACATTCTGAGAAACCCACTTTAAAAGCTTCATTAATGGAAGTACCTGGCAGTTGTCACAGCATTGTCCATGAGCACACTGGGATCCTTCAGTCAGGCGACAAGTTGAGGCATCACAACAAGGATTCGTGCATTCCTAGGAAAACAATCTTTTCAGCTGTCATGTTTGTGAGTCCAGTTTCAAGTCTAAACAGATCAGATTTTAATCTCCCACACAAGCAGCATCTCTGCCAAGAATGTTTTCTCTCTGGTGGGATGTGAACACACAGGAAAACTATTTTCATTTTTGAGGCCAAACTTCAGCTTCACTGGAATCACCACTGCCTTCTCTTTTATTAGCTGCAGCCTTACACACAGGAAACCACACCGGGTCGCTAAAACAGGAAGCCCAAATGGTATCTACCATCACCAAAGGATATATTTAAACACGGCTCCAAAAGTGACTAATCTCTTACAAGCAGTGCCTTTAGCGTCTGCTGAAGGCTTTACCTCCACAGTGCCACAGTCGCACTCCTCTCCAGGGTCCAGCAGGGCGTTGCCGCAGCCAGGCCCCGGAGCGATGGTCCTAACCGAACTGGGTTTTGACAAGCAGCTGGGCCGAGCTCGTTCCATGAATTCAGCGAGCTGCTCCACACTGCAGGTGCTGAAAAACTCCGGGAAGGCTTCATTTCCTGTCCTGAGGACGAGCAGACACATTTCCTCTTTGTGAAAGACTGTGAAAAATTGTTCATGTTGTGATTCTGATTTGAGATGGAGCAAAAACTTTATCTGCTATATGACTTAAAGCATGTGGACACCAGAACATCACACTCACATGTGACTGCTGAATATTTTAGTGAACAACTGTGGCCAATAATCTGCTGCTCTTTAGCCTGGCTGCAGGGATTTGCTCTCATTCTACTACGAAAGCATCAGCGAGATCACACACTTATTTGGTGACTAGATATGTAGTTCATCCCAAAGTGTTGGATGGGGCTGAGGTCAGGGCTCTGCAGGCAAGTCAAGTTCTTCCACACCAAACTGGGAAAACCATTTCTTTATGGACCTGGCTTTGTACATGGCGGAACAGCTTGTTTGCAATCACGTGACTCATAGGACGTTGGAAAGTCAGATGGAGGGCAGGAAGAGATACATCCATACACTGCTTAAACTGGACGTAAAGTGAAGTGCCTACATAAAAGAGTCGGATGAACCTGCAGGCAGCAGGTATCGCCAGAAAACTGAAACTCATATTGGATGTGATCCGATCGTTGTTTAAAACCACCTCGACCCCCGGACCTCTTAACGTTACTAATGTTACCAGGTGATCCAAAGACAGCGTAGAAGAGTCTAGAGGACTGTAACTATTTTGTGTGTGGTTAGATCCACGACTGAAACAGCTGCAGTCTTGTTTTTGGCTCGGGGCATAAATGTGCTTAACTGTCAGTATATTTCACCTCCGTACATGGATGCTCTGCTGTCAGGCTGATGTCATTAGCTAAGGTTGGCTATCTTTAGCCACTACTGTCTACCGACTACGTCAACCGTTGCCAGACATCTAGTGAAACGCCGTTAAAAATCTAGGCTGTAGCTAAAAAACACAGAAGCTGTCACGGCACAGTCACTGCATCCAACTTGAGGCATGTTTAACACAACACTAGAACATTTATGTTTGACATTTGTTGACTCCACTCCTCCAGACTGAAGACAGAGGTTTCTGATATAAACCTGCAGCTGTTTCACAGTGATTTCTCTCTTTTTACTTCTCCTTTTTACGTCCTACTATTTTCAGAAGATTTTCCTAATGTGATCTGTTGGATTGGCCATAAATAGCACAGATCACAGGCATTTGTGCAGTGTTGGTAGTGTTTGCCTCTGGTCGCCTGCTCTCCATCTGGACAGCACACCAGTGTATGACGTCATAGGAGAAGAAGCTATTGGAAGTATTAAGCGGTCTGGATGTGCACATACTTTGGTCACATACTTCTGTATGTGAAAGCTGAATGTTCATGATGTTCCAGCTGAAATATGATTCTTCCAAATAAACAACAATTTGTATCTTGCAAAACTGTATTTGCAGCAGGACAGACCAAAGAGTCGACTTTGCAGAGACGTGCTCACCTGAGCTTTTCTGCCATCACACAGTTCCCACTGTAAGACGGACCACACGTACAACTGAAACCATCATGCGACAGGCCGAAATTGTGTCCCATCTCATGAGCGATGGTGGAGGCGAGGCCTACTGGGTTGTCATGGTGATCCTGGTAGAGAAATGCAGAGCTCTTGCTTTAAATTCAGCAGGATGAATCATACCATTGTGACACATTCCCTCAATCTCTAGAACTAATGTAAGTGAGATGTCATTATTCATACCTGGTTGACTCCACCTGAGTTTCCAGTGCACATGGCAAACTTATTTGCCAGTCCGACTGTGTCTCCTTCAAAATCTGTGCCACTGTTGAAGGAAAAAGTCTCACATCAGGTCAACTTGGCAGCGTGACTTTGTTCAACATCTGCACAGACATATGAGACAGGTCCTCACGTCACAAATTGGGCATTGTCGTGCTTCGTCCTCTTCAAAAGATCAGCTTGTCTCCACAGCAGGAAGTGGTCCAGAGTCGTCTCTGATTTAATGTCAACTTCAATGTAGTCTTTGTACGTCCAAATCTCCAAGCCCACCAGGATGATGCGAATGTTTAGAGGTCGATACAGCTGCAGGCAGAGGAGACAACGTTACTCAGGGGTCAATACACAAGAGCTGTCAGCTAACAATAAAATTACCTTACCGATAAGATAAAATTACCTTGTCAACGTGATTTATAACTCCGAGAACACGGGATTTAGTTTCGCTGCCAAATCGTTTATACTGGAGGAAGAAAGGAGACAAACATGATCAGATTATTTATCCAGCTATCTTCCTGGCAATGTTTTCCAGCTCATCCTATGGGATTTTGAGGCGCTCCCGGGTCAGATGAGATACGTAATATACCCAGCATGTTCTGAGTCTACCCCGGGGTCTCTTCACCAGTTGAACATGCCCAGAAAAGCTCCAAGGGGAAGCGTCCAGGGAGCATCCAGATCAGACCCCTGAACCACCTCAACTGGCTCCTTTTGGCACCAAGGAGCAGAAACTCTACTTCAAGTTCCCTCCAGTTGGCTGAGCTCCTCTCCCTATGTCTACGGCTGAGCCAAGCCACCCTAAGAGGAAACTCATTTCGGCTGCTTGAATCTGCTGACCATAAGTGAGGGTCGTAACATAGATGGACTCTAAAGATTCGCTTTCCAGCTCAGCTCCCTCTTCACAGTGGTCCAGTACAAGCCTGCATTACTACTGATGCTGCACTGGTTCACCTGCCGATCACATTTTACCCTGACTTGTGAAGTGATCACTGATCAGGGTGCCTTCTGGGCGCCTCACGTTGGAGTCGTCAAATTTTTTTTTTCCCATTCCATTCTACCCTCACTCGTGAACAAGACCCCGAGATACTTGAACTCCCTCGCTTGAGTCGCTTAAGGCAGTAACTCTCTCCCAACAAAATTTCGATTTCCTGGTCCTCACCTATGGTCATGAGCTCTGGGTAGTGACTGAAAGAATGAGGTCACAGATACAAGCGTCTGAAATGAGTTTCCTCTGTAGGGTGTCTGGGCTCAGCCTTAGAGATAGGGGGAGGAGTCAGACATCTGGAGGGAGCTCGGAGTAGAGCCGCTGCTCCTTCATGTTGAGGTGGTTCAACATCTGATCAGGATCCTCCTGGTCCAGCTGGTAGGAGGCCCCGGGGCAGACCCAGAACACACTGGAGGGATTATAGATCTCATCTGGTCTGGGAACACCTCGGGGTCCTCCAGGAGGAGCTGGGAAGTGTTGCTGGGGAGAGGGACGTCTGGGGTGCTTTGCTTGGCCTGCTGCCCTGTGACCCAGCCCCGGAAAAGCGGATGAAAATGGAAGAGAGGTGAGCCCAACTATGAGTTGGTACCCATCCATCTCCTGCACTGACTCCAGTTCCTTCACTGCCAGAGAGGAGATATTCAACGTCCCCAGAGACAATCCATGATGATTGCCGCCTGGCTGGCAATTCACCCAACCCCAATGCCTCTTCCTGCAGGCGGTGGTCCCACAGGAAGGCGACCCTGAGTTCTGTCAGGCTGTAGCCAACCCCCTGGGTCACAGACCAGATTCATTTCGTGATGGACATTTTAGTTATAAAGAAAATAAAATGAAATATTTACCTCAGCATTGTCCACCACCACAACCAGCTCGACAAACCTCTGTGGACCTGCGATGGGTTTAGTTTTCTGAAGACAAAAAGGAAACAGAAATACAACCTTCGTATTATTATTTAAATGGATAAACCTCACGTTTTTTTCATGGTTTACCATAAAACCCACATCACCTACCCATGACCTGGACCTGAAGAGGCCAGAGAGCGGAGGGCGCTGGGCCTGCTCCTGGTCGTACGGCGTGGTGGTGTTGGAGGAGGAGCCACAGCTGGGGCTGCCGCTGATCTTCAGGTGCTCCCGTCTGTAAACTGCATGATCACCATCGTCAGACTGTCCCAGAGGCTCTATCAGGTAAACCTGCTGCCGGGCTCTCACAAAGCCGCTGCACACAGAGAGTGTTGTGAGGTAAGACTGCGTAAATATGATCCGACAGAAGAATGAAAATAGCTTAATCTAATATAAACACTCTGTAAACACCGGAGTGCAACACATTGATCTGTTCTGTATACATGTCTTAGTTTCACAAATATAAAAGTTTCCACTGAGAAATGTCACGTTGCATCAGAACATTTAAAAACATGATAAAAAGGAAATAAAGTGAAACATATAAGAGTAGAAATACAGTCACAGTGCAGTGTTCTGATGAGCTGCCCCTCGTTAAATCATATATAAAACTTACATCATATTCAGGCTCCAAAAACACATTGAAACAGATTACTAAATATCTCGAAGCAGCACATTTCACAAGTATCTGAGAAACGTTTACTGGACAAAATGTCAGTGGCAGATTACAAACAGGAAGTTAAGACCAGCTTTTCTTACCTAATGCCTGAACAAATCCCAACGCTGACTGAAGAGTCCTTCACGCCCTCGACATGACCGTGATAGTAGCAGTGGTCCTGGACGGAAATACATTCATCAGATTAAAGATATCAGTGCGTTCAGTCTACTGCAGTTGGTTTGTGATTTACATTCCTGTAATGGACGTTACTCACAAAGAGTGTCTTTGTGAGTAACGTCCATTAAGTTATGAATCACACAGCAGGAATGTCAGATCTTTATCATGTTGGGTTCACACTAAGTCCACACTGTGATGTGAGACCTTTAACATTTCATAATTTTGTCATACGATAAATATAAACAGGTTTGCAGATATAGATGTGGCCTTTCCGTCTGTGTAACCTGCATGTATTTGCCATAATGTCTGACTTATAAAATATGTGTTCTGTCTGTGTAGAAATAAATCAAGCAATACATACAACCTGAAAGCATCTGCTAATAGTTTAATATAGTTACACGGATTATCAGTTAAAATGCAGATCAGTAATAACAGTTTATATGAATTTACAGAAATACACTGAATCTGAAAATGGATGATGGACATGACGTTGTAATTTACAGAGAATACGATCATTGTTTTAAAGCTTTAAAATGTGCATCAGTGCAGCAACTAACAGTTATTTTTATAATCACAATCAGAAATACTTTATTGATACCCGAGCGGAAATTCGGACTCATCACAGTTGCTCCGATGTAAAGAATAGAGTATGAAAAAAAGTGTGTAAACAGAGCAATGAATGAAATAAAGGAGAAATTAAATTAATTAAAGGGATAGTGCACCCAAAAATGTAAATTCAGCCATTATCTACTCACCCATATGCCGAGGGAGGCTCAGGTGAAGTTTTAGAGTCCTCACATCACTTGCAGAGATCCAAGGGGAGAGGAGGTAGCAACACAACTCCACCTAATGGAGGCTGACGGCGCCCCAGATTCAAACGTCCAAAAACACATCATTGAAACCACAAAATATCTCCATACTGCTCGTCCGTAGTGATCCAAGTGTCCTGAAGCCCCGACATAAAAAGTTGTTTGGAAAAACCTCATTTGAACTCTGTTTTTAGCCTCATTGTAGCCTGTAGCTCTGACTGCCTCTCTGGGCACCACACTCACGTGTGTGCGCTTGCGCGTCGGGGCTTCAGGACACTTGGATCACTACGGACGAGCAGTATGGAGATATTTTGTGGTTTCAATGATGTGTTTTTGGACGTTTGAATCTGGGGCGCCGTCAGCCTCCATTAGGTGGAGTTGTGTTGCTACCTCCTCTCCCCTTGGATCTCTGCAAGTGATGTGAGGACTCTAAAACTTCACCTTAGCCTCCCTCGGCATATGGGTGAGTAGATAATGGCTGCATTTACATTTTTGGGTGCACTGTCCCTTTAAAATAAAAATAAAAATAAAATGTGTATTATGCTACCTATCCACTCGTACTTCAGATATAAAGATTAAAATATTAAAATAAAATGTAATGTAAATGACAGTAAAGTCTCACCTCGTCTGGTGATGTCGTCACCCGTTTGCCATCCTCTGAATAACGTGTCTCAGTGAAGCCTCTCCCAATGAGATTCCTATAACAAGTACAAGTGGACAAACTGTAACAGACGGACTTCTTTTTCATAGATTTTTAAATATTAAAATGCATGTTTGTTGAGTGGATTTGGAATTATTATTCAAAACAAAAAGATTTACCCGTTTTTTTCCAGATGAATGGTGTGGTTTGTCCCTTCAATGGCCAACTGGTACTGAACCGTGTCAGGATAGAGCTGTAAATGTAGTCACATGGTTTCTATTAATAACTGTAATAATTAGACCAACTTGCAGCACTGGAAGAAAAACAGTAAAAATAGCAAAACCACAGAGATAAAAATACTCTGCAGCAGTTGAAGCCCTGCATTCAGGTTTAAACAAAGATACACAAGTGTTTTCAACAACAGAGACTCATCGTGCAGAATGTTGTATAATTATTTTATATTATTGAATCATTGTTGTTGATGCACAGCTGTGAGAGTAAACTGATTTAGCTGCTTTATAAACTGTTGTTGGATCATTTCATCTGTAACACAGTGTGGAAAGTAATCAAGTACATTTACTCTGTTATTTTGTGATACTTTACTCAACTACATAAAATATAAAGAACTCAAAATCAGCTTCTAACTACGTCTACCAGCCACAGCAGTGAGATCCTGCACTAACGTGACATGTTAAATGTTCCCTCCTGCACTGATCCTTCTGATGTGTGTGTGTGTGTGTGTAAGATCATGTCATGGCTGTCAGGGGTCACAGGTGAGTGAGGAAGATGAGGGCCACTCACCTGGCTCTCCTGCAGGCTCCTCCTCTGCCTCCCCTGAAGTCTCTGAGGCCTGACCACCTCGTATCGCTCCACATGAGACAACAACCCAGACGTCTGCACCACGCAAACTGCACCACACAACACAAACACACTTACATACGTTTACACCAAATATCTGAGCTGCATTTTAATGTGGAGGAAGTGAAACAGTCCCTGATGATGTCACATCCTGGGTTCAGTGGTGCGAAACACATCATCCAGTTAATTCTACTTTACACCTCTGCTCCACACCTGAGAGATCAAATTATGGATTTGTTTACTCCACTTTAACTATTTAAAAGCTGTAGTTACTGATGTTACCTTCAGAGCACGTCATCAGCTTATTAAATGTATTTCTACAGATTAAAGAGCCTTCATACTCTTCCAGGTGTTTTCAGTGGGGCTGAAACCTGCTCGTGTTCTAAACTGAATTAAAACTTTTATCTTCTTTCACAGAATAATAACGTGTGTGTGTGTGTGTGTGTGTGTGTGTGTGTGTGTGTGTGTGAGATAAAAAATAGACCCTGAAGTCTCCACAGTTTAACACCACAGAGATCAGTTTGCAGTCAGGATTTTTACTTATGATACACAGTGTATTGTCACTTTAACGTGAGTTAAACACCACTGCTTCTTCTTTCTTTAACAAACATTGACTTAACATTAAAAAACAAACTTTTCATGCAGTTTTTTCAAACGACACGAGCCTTTAAATATAACATGATTAGTTCCGTCAGAACATGAGCAGCTTGTCACCAATGTGTCCTGTCAACATGCTTCAACTCCTCTGCTCATTATAAACACTTTGTGGTAACGTTACTGACACAGCACAAACTCTTTCCTCCTCATAATAAATATTACACATATATGAATATATAAATATAGGATAAAGTTAATAACCTACCCCATGTCAGCCACAGTCGGACCGTGTTCCGTCCCATCATGGTGCTCTCTGTTCGGCCTCCGCCGCTCATCTCCCGTTAACTCAGCCTCCGTGAATCATCGGTGACACACAGCTGGAGCTCCTCCTCCGGTCGGTCCTTATCGCCGCCTCACGTAGTTACCGGAATAAACCCGTCAATGCAGCCGCGGTTACGAGAAACACGCAAACCGGACTTCCGTGTCCGGAATAAAACGTGTCAAAATAAAAATCACTGTACTGTCAGACAATATATCGAACATTTTATTAATAATATTTCATACATTTTATAAATAATATTTCGGACATATAATTAATTAATTGTTAATTAATTTTATCAATATGTATCGGTCTTTTTTTCCAATACTTTTTCGGACATTTTAATAAAAAAAAAAAAAAATCGACATTTTATAAATAGTTGTCGGACATTTTAATAATAACATTTCGCACATTTTAATAATGCTTTTTCGGACATTTTGTCAATAATTTTGCGGATATTGTATTTATCTTTGTCGGAGATTTTATCAATAATATTTCGTACATTTTATGAATAATTTTTTGGACATTTTATTTATATCTTTTCGGAAATTCTATTTGTATCTTATGTACATTTTATTTATAATTTTCGGACATTTTATTAATACTTCTTAGATATTTTATCAATGATATTTCATACATTTTATGATTTTTTTTTCCGGATATTTTATTAATATTTTTTTCGGACATTTTATAAGTAATATTTCTGATATTTTATCATTTTTTTCTGTCATTTTATTAATATTCTACGGACATTTTATCAACATTTTTAGGACAGTTTATGAATAATATTTCGGACATCGTATTAATATTTGTCGGACATTTTATTACAAAAATTTCAGACATTTTATTGATAATATTTCGGACATTTTATTAATATTTCTTAGATATTTTATCAATGATATTTCATACATTTTATGATTTTTTCCCCCGGACATTTTATTAATATTTTTTCGGACATTTTAATCAATAAGTAATATTTCGGAAATGTTATTTACATTTTTCGGACATTTTAAAAATAATATTTCTGCTATTTTATGATTTTTTTCTGTCATTTTATTAATATTCTACGGACATTTTATCAACATTTTTTAGGACAATTTATGAATAATATTTCGGACATCGTATTAATATTTTTCGGACATTTTATGAATAATTTTCCGACATTTTAATCATATTTGTCGGACATTTTATTACAAAAATTTCGGACATTTTATTAATATTTCTTACATATTTTATCCATGATATTTCGTACATTCTATGAATTTTTTTTTCGGACATATTTTTGAATAACTTTTCGGATATTTCATCAATAATTTTGCGGATATTGTATTTATCTTTGTCGGACATTTTATCAATAATATTTTGTACATTTTATAAATATTTGTCGAACATTGTATTAACATTTGCATGCAGCACGTGGCCCCTCTGTCCTCCCGCCGCCACGTGCACATGGTGCCGTGTGCACAGACACAATTCACAGTGATGTTACTGCATTCCCAAATATCTTAACATTATGAAACTCTATATTGTAACTCAGAGCTCGTGTTTAGTTTCCTGTGATGAAGAGGATCTCATTGTATTATGGGATGTTTTGCTGCCGTCTGGTGGCAGTAACGTTAAATGAGCATGCGCTGACTACATTAATACATCATTTATCTTTTGAAAGCTTGAAGGTATTTTTGATTTTTGTGTTGTAATTTCCTTTAACTTTGTTTGAGGCTAAACTGTTGTCAGATGTTCTGTTACTGTGTTTTTTACAGTGAACAGCTGTGAAATGTGTGAACGTCTCTGTGTATCATTACAGAGTGTCACAGCTGCACACGCTGAACGTTCTTTAAATAACCATGTCACTGAACAGGAACAAGGGACATGCAGTGTTCAGTTAAGACAGAGGTCCAGAGTCTCTCTGAGTTCAGTAAAGTTTAGTTTTAATGAATACAAACAGGTACAAGAAGTTACCCATAAGGAGCGCCAGGACTCAGAGCACAATAAACATATCAGTTCCACCTTTATTAAACTTTACAATTTGAAGCGACGTCGCAAACATCAGACTGTAACTCTACATTTCATACAGGACATCATATATAATATACACACTGAAGCATCAGCTCGGAGAGACGGACGGACGGACGTGAGGAGAGGATGTTGTTATTGCTGGGTGACAGATACTACACAGTCAAGTGTAACATGCTACGCTGAAGCTTTCTGGCTGCGCTCGATGGCCATCCTCTCCAGACGCTCCGTGTAGAAGCCGTTGAAATCCAGCCTGTGGAACCACATCAGTAACAGCTGAGTCAGGAACTCATCAAAGTCATTTACATTATGTACAATGACTCAGTGTGTGCTGCATGTGATGTGAAGGTGTTTCACCTGTAGATGATGCTGATCATGCTGTGCTCACAGTCGTTGGTGCTGTAGATGCTCAGCTTGTCCAGCAGGTCCAGCAGCAGCATGCTGAAGTTACTGTCAAACTTGCTGATGTTGGCTTCAAAGCTTGCATCTGACTGCAGGGTGTCTGCGTGCTCGGCTAAAAACTGAAGCAGTGGAAGAACACAAACACATCAGCTGACACGTGTCACACCCAAATGACCTTCACACACGTTTCCATCTCTGAAACTCAAAGGTAGGAATGTGAACACTTCCTTCAGTACACAGTCTACTTGATGAGGACGGGCCGTGATGATGAGTGTTTTGGAAATACCTTGGTGGTCAGTCTCTTCTTCTCTGCCTCCTCAGCGTATTCGCTCTGAGTGGGAGGTCCATCCATGGTGCCTTGCTCCAGAGAGAGGCGCTCTAACCTCATGCTCTGAGTGAACCGCTTCAACAGTACAGGACAAGACAAACATCTCACTGTAAGCATTTGGAATCTGTCAATGTCAGTGTAGTAAAGATTCCTAGTTTTCTTTATTTTGACACTTCCTTTGCTTCAGCACTGATTGGTTCATTTCTCTCTTTGTTCCCTCTCTAATCTGACTGAGTTCACCTGTTCACACCTGTTTAAACCCTGAACTCACTGCACTCATTCTGTCTTCATCGTCACACGGGGCGGCAGTTCTGTCTCTTGAGTTTATCCTGTGTATGATTTATTTCAGTGAGCATCATTTACTCTTATTAAGGTGGACATTTGTTTAATTTGACTCAAGTTCTAATTTTGTATTTGTTTCTTTCAGATTCAAACTCGTGTGTTTGTTTAACAACAGTTTGGAAATAAATCTTTGTGTGCAAAGGAAAGTTTCTGATGGATGCCCGTGATAACAGACTTCTCCTCCTTTACGGTCAGTACCTCAGTCAGAGTCCGATGACGAGTCTGTTGGGCACCAAAATCTGTGACTAGCAGATGTATCAGAATGCTAAGTATGGTTAGTATTTGTTGCTAGCTTGTAGGATAACACACACACACTAATATCTGCTACAGTGGAGTTTTTGGTCGACAGTGGAAGGACGCTCCAGGGTCCAGTTACATCCAAAAGCTGCCTCTCCATCATGTGAGCTGTAAAAACTTTCCCTACACTGATGCTAACTCTACTCTCTGAGGTTTCAGGTTTCTTTGCTGGTGTTGTGTGCGAGTCTGTTCCCCTGTCGATATCTGTTTCTTGTATTAGACAGTGATTTGCTGTCATATTAGTGACGTAAGTTTGAATCTCAGATTTTAGGTAAGTGCACAGACATCGCCCCCCTCAGGAGAGAAATGTGAAAACACCTCCCTGATGACAAACTGTGGTCTGAGGTCTGACATCTTAGGGGACATAAACATAAGAACAACAACAGTTGTGTCTGTTTTGGTTCAGTCTCAGTCGGCATTTCCTCTTCATCAGTGTGTCAACAAACCTGCATGCAGTTTGTGAACAAGACGCAGACGGACATGAGTTTGGAGAAGATCCTGAGCAGCTCCGGGTTGGTCAGCATGCAGTCCTTCAGACAGTTGTCCAGGAAGCTTGTGTGATGGCAGAGCACGTCATCGATGTTTGACGCCTGCAGGAGGAGGAGAGGTGAGTTGGTTGTCATGTGACCACAGACCGTATGTGTACGGAGAGTGATCGGGGCGGCAGAGCTCATTCACTCACTGTCTTCAGGTTGTTCTCCATCACGTGCCAGGTGGGCTCCATCACCTCAAACATCATGTAGTACTGGATGTTCTGCACAAAGTTGAGCATGCGCTGTCGGAGGGCGAACGCAGCAGCGTACCTGCGTACGAGCAGTTTGAGCAGAGTGTGAGGATGTTTTGCTGTTTGAGATCAGGCACAAGATTTTCCATCAACTCACCATTTGGCGCAGTGTAATGAATACTGCTTGAAATCTTTGTTGCAGATCCACACGTTGCACAACAGCCTCTCCACGTGTTTGCAGTAAAACATGTGTCTGAACAACATCTGGTACCTCGTCAGGGCTTTCCTAGAAAACAAATACAAGTCAAACAATTACAAAACCTGTTAAATGTAATATTATTCATTATTCATTTATCTTATTTTATTTATTTACAGTTAAATTGCTGTATACAAATATCCAACAGGCAGAATAAGCAAATATAATTTAAACAGAATCAGAATGATCGATTTTTTGCTCATAAAATAATTATTTGATTATCAAAATAGTCAGTGATTATTTTCTGTCGATCAGGTCAACGCAACAATCAAAACTCAGTCAGATCATCTCATGTTAAGATCTGTAGTCTCTGCCGTTTATTAAAGAACTTTATAATAACCCTCTTTGTTGTCAGTGCGTAAGATCATCACAGTACTTGTGTTACAGAGCTGCTGAGTAACAAAGCTTCACTAATCTTTTAAGTCTGGAAAATGCGTATAACGCAGCATGCTGATGCTGCATTCACACTACGAGCCAAACACATAAATCAGATGAAAGAAACCTGTTGATGATGAGCGACAGCGGCCATTTGACGATGTAGTCGAAGGAGAAGGCCTCCAGCCCGCTGAGGGCCACGTCCGTCAGGTCTGCGTTGATGATGGCCTTCTCCTGTTTGGTCTCGATGGCCAGCACCCGCAGCAGCTGAGTGATGACGTCATGAGGCATCAAGTCGATCTGCAGAAAAGGAGCGAGGAAGTTCATTATGAGAAGGTTAAAAAGCGTGAAACAGCAGGACTCACTGATCATG